GAGAGGCAGAAGGGGGATTGCCAGACCCAAACGATCGTACATATGTATCTGCCAGGGTCAGAGACTGGTTGGGATGGGGGTCGGCCGCCCTGCGGCCTAGGAAGCTGGCTCTCAGGATTGGCACAATTGGGCATCCCTGACCAGCATGAGGCTGGTTGCTACGGTGGAGAAGGCCTTCTTCAACACCAAGCGGCCGCCAAATGGCGGACGATCTGCACTGAGCATCCCTGCGCCGATCGTTCCTGGTGGCGTCTTCAGTCCAAGCCTTCTCACTAGGTTAGTCCCTAGGGCGTTATGTCAGGACGTCTGTGTGCGCCAACCGCTCTCAATATTAAACTACGTGCATCCTGCTTTTGTGCACGAATTTCGCAGCCAGAAGGAGCGACATCGACGGTATTGAAAGCGGGTGCCAGGAGTGTCACACTGTCTACCAGATGCGCACGATGCACACTCCTTGCCAGGGAGACGCCAAGGGCGTCCGCTCATGATTGGCCCCCCAAGTTCTACTTCCCTGCCTATAGGACAGTTGCGGAATTGCTTTTTCTGGCACAGTGTCTATCGCCGATAGCGTCGCCATGCCGCCGTTGTCGTCCCCGGCGCGGTCGTCAAGATATCCGCGCGGGAGCCGCGCCTTGCTTTGCGGCTCTCCCTACGTTACGTCAAGCGTGAGTCGTCGTCGAGTTCTCTCGCCTCCACAGGGCGGGCATCCTCAGCCTGTGCGTGCGTGAACGCAAAGATCCATTAACCGAACCCATGGAAGATGCCCCAAACGCCAACGACACAGACTCATGCTGCGAGACTGGCAGTGGGCGCGCCACTCACGCCCAAAACACAACAGGAATCCCCAAGTTCAGGGCGTCCGCCTCTCAAATGCCGAGGGCCACTTCACCTAAGCAGGGGCGTTGCGCCAACAAGCATATCCCGGGTGCGTCGTGTACCTACTGGATGGAGGCGAGCGCATGCTTGTGCGGACCCCCAACATGCAGCTGCGCTGCGGTGGAGTAGCTGAGGTGGTTGCTTTTGCGAAGGGGAGCATCGATGAATGGCATGGCGATGGGAAATTGAACAAGCAGGGCTGGTTTGTGCGTCTGAAGAGATTGATTTGGGCTGACTGCTTCTGCGGGTAGATGCAAGCCACTCCATGGCGAGGGCCAAGGGCTCGGGGCCCAAAGCAAGAGAGGGCGACTTATGGGTGGATGGTCTCATCTGTCGCGTTGCTCGACGAGGCTCCAGGATAGTGTGATGGTTGACAAGGTACGTGCATATGGATGGTCCGTGGTCTCCCAGACAAGCATCAAGACTCGCATCGCAGTACGGAGTACACTCCCCAGCCGCCAGATTGAGCTCTTGAAGTGATTTGCTCGTCCCTCCCGGTCACTGTTTGTTCAGCAGGAATGCCCACCGGACCGGTCAGGTAAGATCACGGGTTTGTCTGTGGTGGCATCATGCCTGCTAGCTTCTGCTTGAAGACGACCAGGCTGAAGGGCATGGACAAGCCGCATCGTGATGGGAACTGCCGCTTCGCGGATCATCGGTGCGCGGCTATCGACCAAGTTGCGGCTGTTGCGGCTGTTGCTGCGTCTAGCGAGTGCTCTGAAGGGTGAATGGCTTGGTGGCTGGTGGTGAGCTGACAGCGCAAGATGCGATTAGAATGGCTCTAAAGAAATGACATTCTGCCGATCAGTGCATCCCAAGCTACCAAGCTTATGTCAATCGGCACCAGGAGCGTTTCGGTGGTGGGCACACGACTCCCTCCCCTGGCTCGAATCGCTGGCCCCGGTCAAGTCAAGAGCAGATCTCGACGTCGTTTGCCGGTTCGGACTTTGATCAACGATCAAGAATGAGAAATATGCCGCGCCTAGATGGATGATTACTACCCTCCATGATTGAATCCTTGCCCCAATTCCCGTCGATTCAGTTCAATTGATGCGTCACACTTGATGAATTGCCGCTGACGGTTTTGTAGGATCTGGCTTGATATCAACATCAAGTCCTTTTCCTTGTGCAATACGACTGCTCAGTCTCTAGTACACAGTAGACTCTGTCGTTCCCACTCAATGCCCGAGCAGCCTGGCTCTTCACCGACCACCTACAACCCGGGAGGTGTGGTGATGCTATTCCCAGCCTTGGCCAGGATGCTGCCGACATTCTGCTACACCAAAGCTGCAGCCATCACGGCCGCCCGGCCTATGTGTGCTTGATATGCTCCAAACAACTCCATCTAGCCGCCTTGCCCATGACCTCGCCACTCCTCCTGCATGCAACATACAGGGAGACAGGATGATGCTCTCGAAAACACCGTCACGTGTCGCTTCCCCGCGAGACCGACACTTCATCTCCAGCGAGATGCTCAAATATCATCCGATGCGTTACAGACCTTACTTGGTCCTTTACACACTGGATCCGTTACTACAGCACCTAGACTACGTCGACGAAATATGGAGTATCTTCCTCAAGAGATTCACAACGAGATTGGAGCTTTGTTCGCCGATTTGTCTGAGAGTTGGAGATCCGTGCCCCGGTCCGGTCCGGCCGCGAGACGGCATACCCTGGCAACCATCTCCCGTCCATGGCAGGAGGCTATCGAGAGACAGACATTTCGCCAGCTTCGTCTGAAAAGCACCGATCTCGACGGTTTCGAGAAGATTGTCAGAGGCAGCCGCCGCCGCTACCTCGGTACCATCTTGTACACCATCATCCTCCCAGAGTACGATACGGACGCTCGGGGCCGGTTTGAGCGTGAGCCGGACCGGCGAGCCAACGATGAGGTCTTTACCAAGGCATTGAGCGATCTCTTCGGTATTCTGAAGACATGGGACGATGAGATAGCTGGAAAAGAACACCCATACTGCATTCGGCTCGAGATTGAGGCCATCTACTCGCCCTCTGATGACCAGAACCTCAATGCCGGACTTCGAGTTCCGGGTCGTGTCACCAGCCTGGAGCCAGTCGAGCCTGGCAACGAGGGTGACGTTGCTCATCGGGACCTTCAAGACCGTCGATTCCAGTACTCTTATCTTGCTCTGCTTCGGCCTGAAGAGCTTCCTATAGTCACCTCCCTTGTTGCTTTCACCACTCGTGCAACCAAGAGGCCGCTTGCTCCGAAGACGGCCATCGACATTGCAGCAAAGTTGCCAAACCTGCGGAAGGGCAGCTGGTTCATGAGTGATACAGAACGACGCTATCCAGTTTTGCGTCGGTCTCAGCGGCATGAACTTGCCAATTCTATCCGGGATTCACTGCCCGGCGCTACCAGTTTGAGAACACTTGAAGTCTGCATGCGCCAGGAGCTCCTCTGGAACCATGCGTGGCATCCAGCAGACTTGACGTCCTCAGACACGGCCTCTGACACTCTGTGCGGCGCCATTCGCGAGGCCACGGGCAGCCTCAAGGCCTTGACGAACCTCACCATCACGGGTTGCCTTGATCAGTCTCTCTTCTGGCCTAGCCCTACTGCTCATCTCCCGGAACCTTTCTGGCAGAACCTGGAGTGCCTCGATCTTCAGTTTGACATGACTACTCCTTCTAGAGGTTGGTACTTCAAGGCACGTACCCCTGCCGAGCACATCGATGCCCCGGCTGCTTTGGGCTCGGATTCTCTGCTACCTCCTGGGTACGGACAGAGTGAAGAAGAAGATATGGTTGCAGCACTTCAGTATTCAGACTCAGAGAACCAGCGACGGTCGGGTGACTCGATGTGTCTGTTCCGCTGGGTGCCGGATGAGACGACCATTATGCCCCTGATTGAGGCCTTTGGACGAGCGTGCGCTCAGATGCCCGCGCTGAGAATTGCCTCCCTCACGACGACAATCCAGGTGCCACTCCAAGTCCATCAATGGCGCAGCGTGCCTGTACGGTCTCCCTGGGGCGTGTCGTACGCTGCTCCCAGAGCCGAGTTCTCCCGGCAGTGGCAGCTTGACCCTGCATTCCGTGAGAATATCCACCAACGGAGGATCTTTTGGGATGTCAAGGACTGGCTTCCGGGCAGCCATCTACGAAGAGTAATGAGCGAGATTGGGCGAGACCGGCACGGTGATGAGTTGGTCGAGAAGCACGTCGATTTCTGGGCAGCCGTTATGAAGCCGCGAGAGTTGGCGCGGTTCAGGTGCTCTTACTGGTGAGGGTCCACCTGAGTGAAGGTAAAGTAATGATTTTAAAGTACTATCATGGTGGTGCAGCTGTGTGTTGGCATTGGCTGTTGCTGCGCCGTGGAGTTTATTGGTAAGGACGTTATGCTTGATGTTGGAATGACACCCGCCTCTCTTTTGTTGCTCACGCCGATCACTGCTCTCCTATGTTACTTTTCTTGGTATGCCTTTGGGACTAGGTTCAGGCTCTCTATCTTTTGTTGCTCGGGCTCTTCGCACTTTTTTAGTTCATCGTTCAGTATAGGCTCTTCTGGATGATCCAGATTGATGCCTTGAAAGGAGTCAATCAATGGGCACCATGCAGATTTCAATACGTATTCTTAGGCCACTGAACTAGGCACTATCGTGCAGAATAGTATTATTCCCCCAAACTGACATGTAAATGTTGTATTCGTGGCTGGGCTTGATTAGATGAAGTATGAGTCGTGGCTTGAGGTCTAGGGTAGGAGGACACCGTTCTCAAGCTCTGGAGCCCTGCGCTCTTTGGTGATATTAAGGGTTCTCTTTCGAATTTAATAGGTTGTTTATACTTGACAGGTAGGTTGGTAGTCGGTGCTGCCTCCCTATGTGCGATTGTTATATAATGGCTGGAGTTGTCGATGAAGCCTGAGTATTATCAAGCATCACCAGTTGCCTACGCAACTTCGGATTCGGCCAGAATCTATTATCTAGATCCACAACGACAACATCCAAATGCCGGCGCATTATGCTAACAAAGATCTGGTAGATAGCTGGCAGGCGCAATGAGGTGAACCCACCAGGAACCTATGCGTGAGAGATCTTAGATGTCACTGGCTCTATTCCATGGCAGGGGAATAATGTCAAGAAGATAAACCGCTGAGACAATTCCTTGATCCACATATTGACTTGATAAAGCATTAACTCCATTTTGTCGCAGTTCGACTGCCCAACTATGGTGATATAATAACAAATGATATCATTACCCGGGACCATGACGCATCAAAGGCCGTCGTTATCCAAACATACAATCATGAAACGCTCCCAATTTCAGTTCAGGCATACTTTTTCCCACATGTTCCGATTCATTTACAGCTTGGAAGCAGGGCTGGGGGGACCAGCCTGGGTGATCTCGTTGTAGAGGAGACTGGATTATTGTTAGTAATTTGATCTGTGTAAAATTCTGTTGAGTGGGATAAACTTACGTAGTGAGGAAGTCGGCGTAGTCCTCGCCAGTGACCTGGCCAGAGAAGTACTGAGCAGCGAGGTGGAACTTGTTGCCCTTGGGACCGGCGGCAGCGAGCTGGTCGGCAGACTCCTTGAGCAGCTTCAGGGCGTAAGCCTTGTCGACACGCTTGCCCTCGGCGGTGGTGACGCCGTGCTTGACCCATTGCCAAAGCTGGCTTCGGGAGACCTCGGCGGTAGCAGCGTCCTCCATGAGGAAGTTGATGGGGACACAGCCGACACCTCGGATCCAGGCCTCCATGTAGCCAAGACCGATGTGGAGGTTCTTCTTGATACCCTCCTCGGTGATGGTACCGGGAACGTTCATGTTGAGCAGATCGTTCTGGCCAATGGTGACATCCTCACGTCGCACGAAGTGCTGGTTAGGAGTAGGCATGTGCTTGTTGAAGATCTCGGTGGCGATGCTGGCGAGAGCGGGGTGGGCAACCCAGGTACCGTCGTGGCCAGCGCGGACCTCACGGAGCTTGTCGGCGCGGACACCCTCCATGGCCTTGTCGTTGGCGGCAGGGTCGTTCTTGATGGGGATCTGAGCAGCCATGCCACCCATGGCGTGGACACCACGCTTATGGCAGGTCTGGATGAGGAGCTTGACGTAGGCGTCCATGAAGGGAACAGTCATGGTGACGGCGGATCGGTCAGGGAGGACGAAGTTGGCGTTGTTGCGGAACTTCTTGATGACGCTGAAGATGTAGTCCCATCGGCCACAGTTGAGACCAGAGCTGTGGTCGCGGAGCTCGTAGATGATCTCGTCCATCTCAAAGGCGGCAAGGATGGTCTCGATCAGGACGGTACCACGGATGATGCCGCGGGGGATGCCAATGTAGTCCTGGGCAAGGTTGAAGGCGTCGTTCCAGAGACGAGCCTCGAGGTGGCTCTCCATCTTGGGGAGGTAGAAGTAAGGACCGAAGCCCTGGCGCTGGGTCTCGATAGCATTGTGGAAGAAGTAGAGACCAAAGTCGAAGAGGGAACCAGAGATGGGCTCGCCATCAACGGTGAGATGCTTCTCCTCGAGGTGCCAGCCACGGGGACGGACAATGAGGGTAGGGAGCTTGCGGTCAGTTCGGAGCTTGTACTCCTTGGGGCCCTGCTTAAAGTCGACCTGACGACGGTTGGCATCGTAGAGGTTGACCTGGCCGTTGATCATGTTGTCCCATGTGGGGGCGCTGGAATCTGGAGATGGGGCCCATGTTAGCGGATCCGATGCATTTGCTTGCATGTGATGTCATTTTTCCAAAGTCATGATGGTTCGCTTTGGCGGAGATGAATACCCGAGAGATTGCAACCTCGGCATAAGCAGAAACATCGCAATTGAACCAATGACACCCAATTGAATGCAGATAATAAAAAGACAGCTAAACTTACCCTCGAAATCGGCCATGTAAGTGTAGACGTCGGCGTTCAGGGCGTTAACGACCATCTTGCGGTCGGTGGGGCCGGTGATCTCGACGCGGCGGTCGACCAGACCCGGGGCCGGGGGAGCTCCCTTCCATGTGGGGTTCTCACGGATGTGCTTGGTCTCGGGGAGGAAGTCGGGCAGAACGCCCCGGTCAAGCTCGGCCTGGCGGACCTTGCGGCGCTCGAGGAGGGCCTTGCGTCGGTCGTTGAAGGAGCGGTGCAGGAGGGCGAGGAAGGCGAGGGCCTCGGGGGTGAGGATCTTGCGGTGGACATCGTCGACCTTGCCGAGGACGGAGACGCCCTGGAGGATGGAGTCGGTAGAAGCCATTGTGATTGTTGAGATTGGTATTTGATGAGAGGATGAGATGGGAGGACGGTGGAAGTCTCTTGTATATATAGACTTTCACGTGTCGGCGATCAGGATATGACGCGGGCTCCGGCTATGAAACGCCAATGGGAGGAGGAATTCTCTGTCGGTAACGGGCAAACTCTGTCAAGATGAGATGTAGTAGTCGTTATGTCAAGGGGGTATAATGCAAGCTTTGGCTGAAGATGATGGGCAGCCAGAGGTGATGAAGTCAAAGAGGTCTGAAGTAAGAGAAGGAGGAATTGAGACGACAGGCTCCCCGGGACTGGGCTATTATATAGAAAGTCTGAACTGAAGCGAAGCGTAGCAGTAGCAGTAGCAGTTGGCTCTGCCGCACATCAAATTCCTAAAGGCGTAAATGGGCCTCGGACTACGACCGAGAAGGCAGGCCGCGACCGAGTCACGGGCGCTCGCCGGGCCTGGGGAAGGGGAACCAAGAAGGAATCCGGCATCCAACCCCAAAACGTTTCCCCACGAGCGAGCGGCGACAAGCCAAGCATGGCCCCAGGACCCAGGGAGGGTGTGCGCGGGAATCAGCCGCCCATGCAAGGCCGAGACTGACTATGGCCGTCTTGGATGTCAAGGTGAAGGTTCTTGTAGATAGGATCGAGACGTCGGTTTGTCAATTGCACAGACTTGCTGGTCCATGACCGTCTATGCCAGCTGTCTTGTCATTCTCAACTGCCAGAGCATTGTAATACAAAGCCTCTACTTCATCTGGAACCACTTCGTCCACGGTAGAGGCGTAGCCAATTCCTCACGGCCATCGTCCGTGCCTTTGCTCGGTAGCCATCGGCCTGGCTCGGGTGGATGGAGCAAAGCTCTCAGCATCGAGGTAAGGAAAAAAAAGAGAGGGCCTGACGCTAAAACGGTTCAAGGTGAGCAGAAGCTGCGGAGAACGAATGACGGAGGTTGAGCGAGAGGGAGAAGCATGTGCGCTGCGGGCAGTTCCCATGTGGGTTTTTAGTGGATACACAGGGGGGAAGCCGCAGCTGGGGGCGTTGAGTGCCGCAGCTGTAGGTGCCACACAGAGCAAACCTCGCAGAGGGAAGGTGTCATGGTACTTGATGTGGCGGATGAGTACTTTCCCCCCGGTACACCACACCCTGCATGATCATGTATCCTTTCCCAAGATCTTGTACACTTGGGGTAATTGCCCACCTCTCCAACACCAAAACCCGTTCCCCAGAGAACCCTGGGAAAGAAGTTGGCTGGTTTCAACTGGCCCAAGCTCGGACGAAGGCCGAGAAGGTCTGCGCTGCGCTGCATCATGGTTGATTCTTTCGACGCCTCCATCTCAGATGCCCCAGACCCAGACCTCGGCTCCGGTTACGTACTTTGCCTGTTCCTGACAATGTGGCATCTGCTTCCGTCTAGGGGAGCATTGGCGGCTCTCTCTCTTGCATGCTTATCGACGGCTTCGGCTGAGCCGCGCTGGGGTTTCGGTCTTTTCCTCCGAACCTCTTTTGTTGGACTTGATATTTGTCTTTGTTGCTTCTTCTCTGGACGATGCAACATATTTCAAACTTCGAAGTATTTTCTACATGTGTTATCGAAAGGATTATACACATACTGCATGATATCTGCCTTGAAGGAAGGTATACAGTTGATCAAGCGGGCCATGAAGTCTCAAGTTTGACGTTTCGACAGCCAAGGTCAGATCTCGGTGAAGGTACGTACCTCCGGACCCAAGCGCCGGCAGAGCATCCGATCTGCCGACCTAGAAGCCGAGGCAGCTTCAATTACCGCCACCTTCGGGGGAATCCTCCGAAGCCAGGCTCCGGAGTATCGCCGCCTCGGATCCGACCTTTGCTTGGACATCGCCGCAGACCGTGAACCGCGCAGTTCTTTACTGAGAGCTGTCTGACCTTTACTATCCGCCCATGTCCATCCGTTCAAGACCGGCCGGCCGTCTATATCCGAATGGAACAAAGGCTCGGAACTAGTTAATTGCTCAAGGAACTTGATCTCTCTGATCTTTATCCGTCTGTTTGCCATCTCAAAACCAAGCGTGATGTCCAAGTAGTTCAACATGGCGCTCATGTTGCAGTTGCAGTTGCAGTACTTGTTGATTCAAGATACTGTAGAATAGAACTCAAGGCAAGCCAAACAAGAAAGCAAGAAAGAAGGATGGTTGTCTGAGATATACTTGCAATGGAATCATGATGTTGAATGCAAGATCGGACATGTGAATTTATTCATTAGTTTGACAAACTCTTGCTTGCACAAGTGACGCTTGGCATTCGGCACTTGCTTGCTGACGCTTTTGCACACATCCTGTGACATTTGATGTTACGCATGGTGTTGCATTTCTAGCACATGTATGCAAGTTGGCTCCCCTGCTACCATCCTTTTGACAAAAACATCCTCTTGCCGGGGCAGGATTCGAACCTTCAACCTGGAAAGTCTCAGACAGAAAGGGCAGGAGATCCAGCTGGACCAGACCAATCATACAAATAGCGGCTTTCAGCCAATGAAACCACAGAATGGCACCCCACAGACTGATCCTTCTTGAGCTCACAGCTTGCCTGGAGCTTTTGTTGGACGCACGTATGAGCATGAGCTTTAGCAAGCTACAAGTCAATATGACTGACTCCAATTCAGATAGCCAATACTTACAACCATGATTTCCAGCCATTCTTTACTTATCTGAACCCCTCAAGAGCAACACTGGTCAAAAAAAAAAAAAACCATCTCCGAGGATCGGCTCTGTGCTGTGCTGTAACCGCTGAGACGCTTACAATGACGCAATTAATTTGTCAGCACCTAAGAATGACGATGGGTGACGAAGGTGGGGGGCTGCCTCTGCTGTCTACCCCACCTCGGCATCGCGAGCTCCCAAACAGCTTGCGAGGAAGCTCTGCCATGTCGTAGGGGGATTGGCTGTGGGCATTGAGGAGAGGGGCCAGATTCCCGATTGAGCCATGTTCATTGGAACCCTGGGAGAGTGGGAGTGAGAAGTAGCGAAGGCCGAGTCGAGGAGTGGAAGTTCGGACTTTTGTGCAATTCCATTCCGAGGTCCCCTCTTCAAGACTTGCTTCTGCCCCTCTCTCGAACCCTCTTTTGCTTCATTCTTGAACAGCTTCATCCAAAACAAACAACAAACCAGATACCCAATCCTCATCAAAAACAGAGAAAATCAGTCAAAATGGTCAAGGCTGGTAAGTGTGCATCCAGGAGAGCATGGTCCCCTTTTTATAGACGCGAGATCGCTGCGGGCTTGGGAGCAAAGGAGGGGTTTCGAGCTGGTTTGAGCGGGTTTTCTTGTCGAGTCGTGTCGTGTCGTCCAACGGGATGACGAATGTCACCCCGAAACGGCGCGTCTACCCTGATGGCTACGGCTCAGCCCTATCTATGGATGCTGGAAGGCTTCCAGAAGGGATGATTGACGACTCGGCGAGTCCCTTGATGGACTCTCTGGACCTTGATGGCTTGCCGCATGGCCAGGGAGGGCACCTGTCTGGCTTATCCATCTCGCGCCTTGCATCACATTGCATCAACAGCTCGCTAACATTGGTACTTTACAGTCAGCGTTATCCGTGGTGACTCCAAGGTCTCGGGCACCGTCGTCTTCGAGCAAGAGTCCGAGTCTGCCCCTACCACCATCACCTGGGACATCACCGGCAACGACCCCAACGCCAAGCGGGGCTTCCACATCCACACTTTCGGTGACAACACCAACGGCTGCACCTCTGCCGGCCCTCACTTCAACCCTCACCAGAAGACCCACGGTGCTCCCACCGACGAGGCCCGCCACGTTGGCGATCTCGGCAACATCGAGACCGATGGTCAGGGCAACGCCAAGGGCTCTACCACCGACTCCCTGGTCAAGCTGATCGGCCCCCACAGCATCATCGGCGTAAGATATATATACCCCCTGTTCCTCTCGAGCATGACTGACAAGGCTGTTAGCGAACCGTCGTTGTCCACGCCGGCACCGACGATCTCGGCAAGGGTGACAACGAGGAGTCCCTCAAGACTGGCAACGCTGGTCCCCGACCTGCTTGCGGTGTCATTGGTATCTCTAACTAAGGATAGAAAGAGTAATGAACTGGGTTAGTTGAATCAAAAGGCGGCAATCGATACATGGCGAAAAAGCACACCGATGAGAGGATGAAGGTGGAAATATGACCTTCCATAGCTGCAATGAAATCGAGCCAGAATCAGCAACCATAACAAAGCATCTTATGGAGCTTTTTAGTCTACGTGAAGAACCTGCCTGTCCTAGTCTAGGGCCCTATGTTTCCCCACGGGGTACGTTTGGGCCCGAGATACCTGGAGTGGAACGATTTCTTTGTGGGGTTGCTGTTGAGATGCACCATTGATCAGCAACCTCATGAGTCGTAAACTGACGTTGATAAAGTGCTATTTACAGCTATTAAACTAACCCAAGCCAACCAGTTGGCCGTCCCCCTGGAACTGACCTGGCCACCACCACACACATTGTCTTGTCACGAGCCACCGGAGCATGTGTTTTCTCCAACCCTTGTCTTTCCACCGGCTTTGGTGTTGTGGTATGGGCAATGAAGGAGTATTCCACTCGGCCTTCCACAGATTCTGACATCTGCGTGATGGATATGCCCTCGGGAGATACCGAGACAGAGTCAACAGTGATCTCCAGCTGAGGATCGACTGATGTTGCTCCCTCAACAACTATAAGACCTGAGACCTTGACTTGAAGCGTCTCGCCGTCGGATTCCGGAATGGCCTCAAGAGTTTCGATCCTCAACTCCGGACGCGAAGCTGTGGACAACCCCCCCTGACTCAACAGCAAGATAGTGTCAGAGTCAAGAGCAGGCGTGTGTCGAGGAGCAACACGATGTCTCGTCGCAGCCTCAAAGGCATTGGCCCACTTGAGCAGCTTGACATCGTCATAGGCTCGACCAGCAAAGGTGAGGTTCATAGGCACGCCCTTTTCCGGCATGACACCCATGGGAACCGAGACCGAGGGTATCCCAAGGTGCCTCATCGCCCGGTTTCCATTGCTATAGTAGACCCCATTCCGCCACGCCAGCTTCGCGCCCTCAAAGCTCGAGTCTGCGTCTGCGGGCCCTACATCACCGGCTGCCGGGAAGACGACGCAGTCACAGCCGAGCACTGTCAGCCAGTCTTCCAGGAGGTGTTTGCGCATGCCTTCCAGAGCTATAACAGCTTCTGTTAGACCTGGAATCTCCCAGAAGGTGGTGCTCTTGGTGTATTCGACTAGTTTGTGATACTGGATTGCGTTGGCGTGCTCAAAGTACTTCATCTCTGGCGCTGTCCGTAGATAGTCTGGGTAGATGGTCAACGGATCGATAGAAGAAAGGTCAGAAATCGTATCGTTCTTGAACCCCTTTATGAAGTCGTTCCAAGCGTGAGAAATCATGGCGCTTCTCTCCATCGCGTTCCACCCCTTAGGCCGTCTGGGGCAGTCATTGGGGAGTAGATGATCGTTTTCGTACGCCGTCATGGCTGGAAAGTCTGCAACAGGAACCATCTCGGCCCCTAGGCCTTCGAGATCTTTCCTAGCTTGGTCCCAGAGCTTGATGGTTTCTGGGCTCACATCCACCGGTCGTGCCCCTGCTGGTGGAGGACCTCCTAGGAAGATCTCAGGGACTGCAATTCGAAGGCCGGCCAGGGACTTGAACGCTGAGATCTCCTTGAAACTGCTCGGTTTGTCCAGCCAGGGCTTCTGAACTTCGATGATAGTCTGCTCGCGCCAAAAGTCACCCTCGGCCACGGGATCAACAGCCGCAATAACATCAAGCAAGTAGAGCAGATCCCTCATGGTCCTCGTGTGAGGCACAGGAACATCGCAAGCCGGATATAGAGGCCATGTACCCCGGATAGATAAGAAGCCTCTCGACGGTGTATAAGCAACGAGGGCATTGTTGGACGCGGGCGATCTACCTGACGAGACGGTCTCACCACCCATACCAAATGCCGCAAAGGAAGCAGCCACAGAGACGGCAGAACCGTTGGACGATCCCGAAGCAAAAGCCGCGGCTAGATATTCTGGGTTGTAAGGATTCTCAGCCCGGCCGTAGATACCTCTCTGCATACCGCCGCATGCTACAGCCGGCATATTGGTACGGCCGACTAAAACACCACCCGCCTTCCGGATGATCTGAACAAGAAAGGCATCTTCGTTGGCGATGAGGTCTTTGAAAGCCGGAGACCCTGCGGCAGCTGTCATGCCTTTGACTTTGTAGCTATCCTTGACTGTAAAGGGGATGCCCTCAAGGGCGCCAACGGGGGTGCCTGAAGCACGCCTGTCGTCAGACTGGGCAGCTTCCTCGAAGATGTCGTTGTTGAGTATGGGGAGGGAGTTTAGAGCAAGGCCGCGGCAGTCATAGGTGCTAATTCGTGCGAGATACCGCGCGACTAGGTCGACGCTGGTCAAGGAGCCGGACTGCAGTGCATCTTGGAGTTCTTCGATTGAGGCATCGACGAGGTTGAGTGTGGCCATTGTTGATGAAGGATTCAAGTTGAATAACAAACTGATTGGGCTTAATATTTGCCTGGGAATTTATTCATGTCCCGAAAATGGCGTCTGAGATGGAGTGTTAAGAGATGAGTCTGCCCCTTTGGAGTTATATAGGTACTGAACACCACCTGGGCTGGTGTAAGTGGTTGAGATAACTAACAGAGAGTATCCACAAATACCACGCCCTTTGTGTTGTGACAATAATGGGCGCCTCTTGCATGCAGTCAGAGGCCAATCAGAAGTTACATGTCATGGCATGAGCCTAGTGTCGCTTCAACATTCCTCATACAGAACCTCCGACGGCATCATGTCAACCACACCAGCAGAATCAACCAACTAGACTGCAAATGCTCATTTAAATGCTTCCCTCCCTATCAGATAGAACCTCGTGCTCCCTAAAGCCGTGGCAGAATTAACTAATTATCAACTGTTGAGAAATAAACCAGTCCAGTCCATGAACCCGAAGTAGGCCAACGAGCCGAATAATAAGACATGCTGCTCTCTATCCCCAAGCTGCCTCTGTTACATCTGCTTTTGACTCTGCCGACTCCCTCTGCCCCTTCAAGCACTATTCGCCTCCTCAAAACCGACCGTGAAAGACATGCCTTTGCACTCCAGACCCCGAACCAGAACCCAAACCGAAAAAGAGCAATCGTCTCATACATCCAACTCCTACAGCACCCTGTACATGATGCCTTTGTGAATACAATTCCCTGACAGTCTGATGATACTGACGAGGCATGTCGGTCAGAATCTTGACACACCTCGTCCCTCTAACTTTTCCTCTTGTTGTCGACTGGACAATAAGAGCTTGGATGACCGCAGCTCTAACTTCCCGAGTTGAGCGTCTTGATCATCATCTTTTGCTTGTTCCTGTCCGCAACAAGCAGACCCCGGGTCTCAAAGATCAATCCCATCGTATCCACGACCCTGTGGAAGCTGCTTGCCGCACCCCGCTCTTGGGTAAATCGGATGATGCTGAGCGGTTGCTTCTTACCATGCTCAATCACCATCATCACCTCGGCAGCGAATGACACTTCCTTCAGGTTGAGATCTGCATCCATCACGTTAGCATTTGTATCTGTCACCGTCTTGTCCTTGGTCACACTTACAGTTCTTAGCCGCAACCCGTGCAAAGACAATGTTTCGTTGCTTGTCCACCTGGATGCCTCGAATGCCATACTTGCGCCACTCCCGCAGGAGGATAGTAACCTCTTGTCGTGCTCGCTTTCTCGAGATGGCCATGCAAAGGTGGCTCATGGCTGGCTTGACTCGGAATAGTCGTGCCAGCCAATTCTGCTTCACCTCGATATTACGAACTGGCCCAGAGCCAGATTCGTGCCATTTGGGCTGCGGTGCCTTGAAATGGTTGGTTTCATTGCTCACGGCAAGTACATCCGTAGTTGAAGGTTCTCTGTCATCGGGTCCTGTTGCCAAGGTTAGATCATCAATCTGCTGTTGTTTTGTCAACTCGAGGCATGACTCACCACCGATAGACATGATCGAGTCTCTCTGCTTGTTGCTCTTCCAGAAGCTGAAGCTGAATGTCTTCTTCTTGGCAGGAGCTTCAGTCGAGGTGGAATCGCTTCGTTTACCGTCGCTAGTGGTCATGTACGAGTTGCAATCCTGCCATTCCGCTGACTCCCGGCTATGTTCTGATCCGACCTTGGAAGACCTCTTGAACCAAGACGACTTCTTCTTCTTCATCACCACTTGGACATCGTATGACGAGGGCTCCAGAAGTGTTGTCGTTGTAGGACCATCGCTTCCCGAGCTATGAGGTGCGTCAAGTTCTCCACGGTGGTTCTGGCTGAGGGCTTGATGTTGTCCTTGTCCTTCCTCGGTCTTCTTCTTCCTCACGTTGAGTGGCTCGGGAATCTTGACGGGGCTCTGGTCGCTTGGCGAGTGCACGACACGGATGCTGTTTTCGACTCTGCTCAGGTATTCCATGCCGCGATCCTTATGGCCTCCGTTCCTGGTTGGAGTGTGTGGAGGCGCTGACACGATACGAGCTTTGTCGTTGGAAGCCCCAGCCTCGTTGATTGATGGCAGACCAGCCGACTTCTTGTGTCTCTGAGAGTAAGTTGGTGCTGAAACAACTCGCCGCTCGGCGTGTCTGGTAAGCACAACTGGCTGTGCCACCTTGACTTGGTCTGCTCGCAGCTCCTCAAGGTGCGAGTCCCCTGTAGTCGGGCGAGATCCCATGGGCGTTGGTGCTAGCGAGCTGCCATCGTATTCGTCCATCGGGGATGGCAGAGGAGGTAGCGGGCGAGTACTGTAAGACTTGTTCACATCGTCCAGCTCCGTGATTGAGCCACCTGGAGTATCGATCGTCAACGAGAACGGCGTCGACTCATAGGTAGTCCGGTCTGGCTCAGTGAGAGAACCGGCGATGGAGTCCTCCTCCATGAGTGAACTCTTGAAAGCCTCATCGCAGTCCTTGGCAATGTTGCTACTGAAATGCCGCAGCTCTTCCTTGAAGATCTCTGACGCATATCTCGATCCAATTGCGGTCTCAACACTAGCCCGAGGGGTGGCTTGAGGATCTGGCTGGCGTGTCGGCTTGGGTAGCATGCCACTGGGCAGGCTTGGAACTTCAGGTGTCTGTGATCGAACCATTTCTAGTTGGTAGGTCGATCCCTGCTCAGTCACGTATGGCGGCGTGGCAACGTTACGGTTCCTGGTGGTCGAGGTCGACCGCTTCCGCACGTGGGTAAAGTCGACACCTCGTTTGTGTCGTAGGCTGTGTGCGATGGGAGTTCCCTGTCGGCTGCTGTGGAGAGACGACATTGAGCCCCGAGAAGACTGAAGGCGACCTGTAGTAGAGTTCCGGACTGAAGCCATCCGCCCACGACGTGCATTTGAACCACTTCGAAGCCTTGAGGCCTGGCTGGCGTAGGAACCCGTCTGAGCGTGACGGTGAATGCTTGTCCTTGACTGACTGGAGTGTAGCACGGCACTCTCTTGAGGTGGCCCATAATCGGCTCCAGCCTCGGGTTCGGCAGCATTCGAGATGACGGTGAACCGCGATATGGAACGCCCGTGACCATTGCCGCGCGGCTGGGAAAATTGGCGGGTGGATACACGCTTCTTCCATACGCTGGGCTTCATGTGGTGGTAGTCGCTCATGGAATGAGCCAACTCGGGCTTGAAGTCTTCCAGTTGCTTCTCTCGGTAGTTGTGCAACAACCAGTAGAAGGCTTTCTGATCATTAGGTCTGGGAACGTTAGGTAACGAGACTCTGACCCAATGGATGGCGGCAAACACTTACTCATCGCATGTCAACTTCAGCTTGAGATCACTCTCACTGAACATGTGCCACATGGACCGCAGCTGACGGAGAAGCTGGGGATCCACATCCTTGGCTGGTACCGGGTTGTACTGGAACCCTTTACGTGTGTCGGGCAACTGTTCGTTGAGGTCTCCGAGTTTATCGAGATATGCATACTTCTGAACCAAAGGGTGACGCCAAATCTCCTTGAGGGTGATGCGTCGGTCAGGGTTGACCTGCAGCATACACCGGATGAGGTCCTCTGCCTCAGGGCTCAGGAAACTTGGCATCTCATATTGTCCCTTTTTCGTCCTGTTCATCATGGCGCGAAGATCGGGATCGTCAAAGGGGAGGGTGGCGGAGAGCATGGCGTAGAGAATGACGCCCATGCTCCAAATGTCTGCCCTGTCTCCACGGTACTGTCTGTTCTTGAGAAGTTCGGGTGCTGCATAGTGAGGGCTACCGCAAGCCGTGGCGAGTTGGTGGGTGTCAGTTTGGTGGAGGGCAGCCATGCCGAAATCTGCAATCTTGATCTGGAGATCGGCGCTGATCAAAATGTTCTCGGGCTTAAGGTCTCGATGGCAAATGTTGAACGAGTGACAGTACGAGATGGCGCTGATCATCTGGCGAAAGAAGTAAATCGAGACCTCTTCACTCAACCTCCCCTTCAAGTTGATGAATGTAAACAAGTCTCCTTGGTCGACGTACTCGAGGATGAGATACCTGAGAATGTCAGTATTAGTAGACGCTAGCAATTTATGGAGAGCACCTACACTTCTGAACGATTTTCCCAGATGTCATAGAGCTTCATGATGTTGGGGTGTTCGATGAGTTTGAGGATGGCCACCTCGCGCTCAATAGCCATGGGAACACGCATCTCGCCATCGGCCGGATCAGGAAGGCTGTTGTCCCACTTGCTTAGGGCTGCTAAACTGCTGTCTTGGACGAGGTAGGCCATGCGACGGTTGACAATCTTGACGGCAGCTAGCTGGTTGGTGGCAGTATGGCGGCAGAGCCGTACACGCGCAGATGACCCCTTTCCTAGCGTCTTGCCCAACTGCCACGGGCCGATATGCGTCTTGTAGTTCTTTTTGCTACGGCCGCTGCCTGAAGAGTCGTAGGATGCTGCTGAGTGTCGTCGCTGATCTTCCACATCCTGAGGAGGTTTGAGGGTATCCGGAGCCTGTGTGGTTGGGCCGTTCCGCTGAGCCTGAGCCTGAGCCTGAGCCTGTGGTGGATGTGGTCGACCAGAAAAGTAGGCGGCAGGATGACTGTAGCCTGAGCGAGGAGCACTGTTTCCCTCGGATTGATCGTAACGAGGCTTGTACCGGTGGGAGTCTTGAGCGTGATAGGAAGAGTTGATGCGGTTCGAAGCCTCAGAGAGAGGCGCCCGAACGGTAGAAACCATCGTCTCGGCCATGATGATCGCCGTGGCTGCCGAGTGTAGATCAGAACATAATATTGCCAAAGCCTGAAGAAGATCAAGGCTTGTTCACGTGCGTGAAGAGGAACAGAGAGGAAGCGTGAGTTTGTCTAGGGAACTAGGAACGAGGCCGAGGTTGAAGCAGGCCGAATATCGGTCGGTGCAGAAAAGACAAACAACAAACAACAGATGCGACGAGGAAGGGGGTTAGGTAGGAGAGGGGCGATTAAAGAGAGGGAGACAGAAGAGAAGGCGAGAAACAAAACGAATGTATTGGGCGGGAGAGAACGAGTGGCTGAAGAACCGAGAGCCCACGCGGCGGCGGGAGAAACGAGAGTGAGTGAGTTGGTGAGGAGTCAAAGAGCGTGCGAAACAAACGGGGCGAAAGAGTGAGTGAGGGCCGGCCGATGGGATCGAGCTTGTCGGGCAAGGAATGCAATGGATGCAATGTTTACAGTGTTTGGTGAGGCTGGGTCCAAAGCGCAAATTGAAGGGAGGCGACGTTGCTGGCATTTGACTTGCATATGGCACTGGCGTGCAGCTGCACCTGCCAGTTTGACAGTGCTCAACCCGAGCTGTCGGTGGAGAAGGATTGGATGACGATACCTGGCGAGAACCGACAAGGAGGGGTCCTTGTTGCATTGAGGCATCGTGATGCATTCCAGTTTCGAGGGTCGTGGCCAATGGAGAGATTCATTGAATGCCGCTGTAGGCCTCCCGTAGGCAGGGAGACGATGTATCGTCGAGGACTTGGACTTGATAGATGCGCCATGTCTACCAGAGCCTCGACTCGATATTCGTATCCGAATCATCACTGTGAATGACCGGCCTGGGCTTGAAGTTGAAGATAGCTACACAAGAACTGAGATACAACGGTCCAGATGTATCATTATCACCACTGGGTCTAGACAAGGGAACACAAACAAGGATCTGGCCATCAAGCAAACAAGCACATTCTCACCGGACCCACTAGGTGGATGAAAGAAAATGCCATTCTCTGCTCAAGACTTCTATGAGCATCCATGAATATGGAGTGCAAGTGAGCTGACAAGCAGTCGGATGGTGGAGGGAAATACTGTGCGAAACTCTTCGCGCAGCTTTTCTCAAACATCGGGAACAAAGAGAGTCTTCCGTGTCGAGGATTGCCACCCAGAGAAATGTCTTCTCGGAAGCACCAAGCATTCGGACAATGAAGTCATCCGACAGGAACTGGAATTCTTAAGGGATGAAGTTGTCTGACCCCTTTTGAAGGGGTTCAACTTGGCGGCGCCGGTGAATGACTAAGCTGAGAGGAAGCCACTATAGGACGAATGTCGATCAAACATTGTCTCGAGGTGTCTTGAAGCCCGAAATACATTTTTGTGCCTCGTTTCATCCTGCCACGGCCGAAGATTTGGCAAAAAGTTTGCGGTGGTGGGCTTGTGTTTGTACAAGGTTGAGGGATGGACTGTGAATGTATTGCTTGACTGGTTGAGCTGAGCAGCCTGGTGTAGTGAAAAAGGCACCTGAGAAGGCATCTGATTGTGGCTGAAGGGGATATCTAGGCCACATCTCATTTTGAAGAATATCAGAATGCCTTGTAATCCACGTTCCAGAGGTTGTGGGCTGCTGTGGCTCTTCTAACACGGCTGAAGCTCATGACACCCATTCACAGTCGCAACTGTAGATTATACGGATAGCAAGACACTCAATAATGCGTCCGGATTACTGCACTTGGCAAGTACCTACCTACCCATCTACTACCTCTGTCCTTTTCTTGCAGCCCCAGCTCGCCTCACACAGCTTACACAGACCCCTACTACACTTACAGGGGACTACCTCCCATCCCCCAAAACCCCACCACTTTAACTCCTGTCAACGCCACATTTGCAAGGCGCGCACTGACGCGATTGGACGCGTTCCACGGACGGAACCTATCCAATTCCATTCATCTCTTCCCTTTGTCTCTGCAATATCTTGCACCTCCAAGACAGAGCCCCTCATTCTCGAGAACCATCGTCGCCTTTTATTCTTGCCCGCATTGCAAGGCGACTCCCTTCCTTCTCTAGGGCGACATGACCCCCGCCTCACGCCGTCGCAGGCGTTCTGATACCGACGATGGCGACGACGATGAAGACCGTTATCAAAACCGATCGCAAGCGACCGCTATCGATTCTCCCAAGCGACAACGACTCGACCCTGATGCAACTGACGGTGCGATCGATGATGAGCCTCATGCGCGAGGAGTAAACGGCACTTCAAGCAGCGCCGATGCCGACAACGGTTTCCAACCCGGCGCCATCGTGAGGGTCAGCGTCGAAAACTTTGTCACCTACGAAAAGGCCGAATTCTTGCCAGGACCGCATTTGAACATGGTGGTCGGCCCCAATGGTACCGGAAAGAGTTCTCTGGTTTGCGCCATCTGCCTCGGCTTAGGCTACAGTCCAAAACACCTTGGACGTGCCGGGTCAGTCAAGGAGTTTGTCAAGCATGGAAAGGACACTGCGACTATCGAGATTGAACTTCAGAAGCGACCAAAGGATCGAAGAAACTATGTCATCAAGGTCCAGATCCGACGAGAACAAAATACGCAAAAATGGTGGATGAACGGGAAGGAGACCAACCACAAGACTGTCCAGACGTTGATGCGGAAGCTCAAGATCCAGGTCGACAACCTGTGCCAATTTCTACCACAGGATAGGGTGGTAGAGTTCGCTGCCTGCACCCCTGTGGACCTCCTGCACGAGACCCTCCGCGCAGCTGCGCCTGAAGAGATGCTCGACTGGCAGAAACAGCTACAAGACCTCCACAAGGACAAGAAGGAACTAGCCGAAGCTGTTAGCACCGACACGGAAACGCTAAAGAATCTTGAGAACCGACAGCAGGGTCTCCAGGCGGATGTGGACAGGATCCGAGAGCGTGAGGAGATCCAGGAGCAGATCAAAAACCTCCAGTCGGCTTTGGTCCTTTCCAAGTACAACGAGGCCCGCGCAAAGTACCAAGATGCCAGGGAGCGGAAAAAGAGCGCCGAGAACTCGTTAAGGCGCCTCGAGCGGGAAAGCGGCCCATCCCTAGAGGCAGTCAACGACAAGCAGGTCTACGCACAACGGATCGACGCCGCAATTTCTGGAAGAAAGACGGCCATGAAGAGTGCTGAGGACGCTGCAAAGAAGTTGGCGCGTGATGTTAGCACTGCTACCGAGAATCTCAAGTTGTTTGAGAGTAGACTCGAGTCTGAGCACAAGGCTTTCGACGGCAAGAAGAGAGAGCTCGCTCAGTCCAAGTCCAAGATTACGTCCCTGCAGGCTGATTTGAGGAACCGACCGGAAGAATTCAACCCATCAGAATTCAACCAAAAGATTGTATGTGCCACTAGGCCACCAACGATACAGACTCACTAACTGGCTTTTAGCGTAGTGAAGAGCATACACTCCGAGAACTGGATGGCGAGAGACGCGAGTTGTCTACCCAACATGCAGAGGTCAAAGCAAGAGGACGCTCCCTGAACGTACAGATCAAAGAGGTCGAGCAAAACGTCGAGTCGTTCGAAACCAAGCAGGGCCAACAACTCAACTTCATGAAGAGGCACTTCCCCGAGCTTGCAGCTGGCTGGGATTGGATCCAGCAGCATAAGGCCGAGTTTGAAAAGGAGGTCTTTGGCCCTCCTATGATTAGCTGCTCCATTAAGGATGAGCGATACTCTGACCAAGTCCAGTCGCTTCTCCAGGGCGATGACTTTACTTGCTTCACAGCCCAGACAAAGAACGACTACAGAAAGTTGACTGACCAGCTCTATCGCGTCCAAAGTTTGTCTGTCGTCATCCGAACCTGCGCCCAGCCGTACAGTGCGTTTCAGCGACCTGTCAGTGCGGATGAGGCAGCAGACATGGGGCTCGATGGGTTTGCCATCGACTTCTTGGAGGGCCCCGAACCCGTACTGGCGATGCTATGCGCCGAGAAGAGGCTCCACCAGTCTGGCGTGTCTCTAAAAGACCACAGCGATGCCCAGTACGACCGTCTAGTTAAGAGCGGCAAAGTTAACTCCTGGGCAGCGGGAAGCCAGTCGTTTACGGTGCGACGCCGCAGGGAATACGGCCCTCAGGCAATGACGGCCATCACCAGACCCATTCAGCCAGGCAAGTTCTGGACCTCGCAACCTGTCGACTCGCAGGAGAAGCAGGAGATGAACAAGCGACTCGTCGAGCTCAATGGCGAGCGAGACATTCTGAAGGCCGAATTCCGAGACCAGCAAGGCAAGCTCCAGGGCATTGACGACCGAAAAGCTAGCATCGAGGACACTATTGTGAGTGAAGGCATGCTATTTTGTCGAACCTCTCTAACCAGAAATCAGGCTCGCCTAAAGGCAGAGAAGAACACCCTGCAAAAAGAGTATCAAAAGTGGCAGTCCCTGCCAGAGAAGATTGGTCAGTCTGCCCACGTCCATGACCTGACCCTCGTTTCTCTCTAACATGCCGCTAGAATCTGAGGAACGCTCCAAGGCGGCTCATGAACAGGCCCTGCGCGAGATCCGTAAGAGGATGGTTGAGATTCGCTACGAGTGGGATGAGGCTGTCTTAAGCCGAGCAGAGCTTGTTCTCCGTCACAAGCAGGCAATCGAGAAGATTCGCAAGGCCCATCATGGTGTTCTGGAAGCAGAAATCCGGCGGATCGAGGCCCAATCCGATATTGTCGGGTTGAAGGCACGAAACGCCGACATCATGGAGAAGCTCGAGACCGAGCGGCAAGCTCTGCAAGTGGCCGCTGAGGAGGCTGACCGAGCCCGGCAAGAAGGCAGGCAGCTCTCTGAGGCTGTTGAGCAGATCCTCGCCGCCGAGCCCGACAAGCATGAACTCTTCGGGCAGCTCTGTGAAAACAAGACCCCCGAGGACGTGGCGAATGAGATATCAGCCGAAGAAGCCAAGCTTGAATGCATCCACGCCGCCAACCCCAACGTCGTCCGCGAGTTTGAGAAGCGTGCGCAGGAGATTGCCCGGCTGACTCGTAAGATGGCCAACGCGAACGAAAAGCTTCAGAGTTTGACTGATAGCGTTGAGGAGCTCATGGCCAAGTGGGAGCCAAAGCTCGACCAGCTGGTGTCGAGGATTAACGATGCCTTTGCCTACAACTTTGAGCAGATCAGCTGCGCTGGTGAGGTTCGCGTTCACAAGGCCGAGGACTTTGATGCCTGGGCCCTAGATATCATGGTCCGCTTCCGGTATGTCGCCCCCCCCTTTCCTCCTCTCCTATCTGATCCCTGACTAATGTGACTCTAGTGAGAACGAGACTCTTCAGCAGTTGACGGCCCATCGTCAGTCGGGTGGTGAACGCGCCGTCTCGACAATCTTCTTCCTCATGGCCCTCCAGTCCATGGCCCAGTCTCCCTTCCGCGTCGTCGACGAGATCAACCAAGGAATGGACCCCCGCAACGAACGCATGGTTCACGAGCGCATGGTCGAGATTGCCTGCCGCGAGCACTCGAGCCAATACTTCCTCATCACCCCCAAGCTTCTGACGGGCCTACGCTACGATCCTAAGATGCGTGTCCTTTGTATCGCCAGCGGCGAGCACATGCCCCGCGAGGGCCGCAAGCTCGACTTTAAGCGATGCTTGAAGATTCAGAAGAGCTTGATGGCAGCAGCTGCTTGAGGGAACGGGCTTTGGCTGCCTTTGTTTTGTAAATCTAGTTGAATGTATCGACGGACGGGAAGGGTTACGGGATTGGGATGCGTCTGGCGAAAAGGGGATACCATCAAAGGGATTAGATCAGATGATACCAGATAATGTCTTAGCATCAAGTTACTTGCTACACTGTTTCGTTCCGCGAGGTCTCATGAGAACATTACACATACACAATCTCGTCAACAGATATAAACTAATGGGAGCAGTACAACTCAAGTATCAAGCCAATCACAACTTCATTTATTCATTTAGTTCCTGCTCCTGACCGTACAAGTCTCCCTAGTTTGAAAATGATTTTTGCTCTCTTTGGAAACACCATCTCCCAGCCCAGCTCCTCTCCCCCCTGGGAAAAATCAAGAAACCTGGCCCATCATCGCAGACTGGCTATTCCCGTCCCCCTTTAATTTTTTTACCGTTAAGCCGAGGGAACAGACAGAAAGTGCCCCATATTTTACACGTATTTCTCGAAAGACAAGGGCGAAGAAGAAGATGAGAAAAAAACAACAAGTATATGAACCCCCTGGTTGCCTGTGCCGAGCAAGCGACAAAGGGGGTAAAACATGGTCGACGCATTCGACGTGAACTGAAACAAACAAAGAGCGGGTAATATCAGAAAGGTATAAAGAATGCTGGCTGCAATAACGAAAAAAGACGACAACAATGGCGTCCGCCACTGGACGGCCAAAACTCCATTCGCCTCTACCAAGCTCAGCGGCAGTAACAGCAACAGCATGTACAGGCGTTGAACCATTGCCCGTCAGGTAGTCAAGGTAAATCAGCAACGAAGACGGCGGGTATAAGTGCGTCGTGAATGCGTATCGAAATCCAGAATCGCTTCGGATTAGGGGTGACGAGACTTTTCTCCGTCATTGTGGTGATCTTCCGTGTCGAGCCTCTTTCGCCAGTCGGCCAGGCTCTCGCTGAGGCCAATGGGGGTCGCAACGTCATCGTCCTTCTTGGCACTTGTCGTCGACTCGAAATCAAAGTTGGTGCTTAGTCGATAGTTCTTGTTGGTCGCCTCCCACTGGCTTCGGAGCGTCTCGAGCTCGTTGGCGAGGCTATCCAGGGCTGCACTGTTTCTAGCTTCCAGGCCGTTCCCGCCAGTGCCCCCGTAGATGCTTTCGCCCTCTGAACTCTCCTGTCTGGAGTGACCCATACCCATACCGTTGGGGCTGGCTGCCATCTCCGAGTTCATGCTGGGTACTTGTCGGCTACGTCGGCGGTAGTTGTCGACTGAATGTTCAACCTGGTCGAGGAGGAGTGCCACCTTCTGCTCGGCATCGTTTGCGCGCTGCTCAAGGAGAGAGTTTTCCGACTGTAGCTGCTCCAAATCCTTGCGATGGCTGTTGAGCTTCTGAGTGGCCTCTGCGTTGCTCTTCACTGCTGCATCTCGCTGTTCGTAGGTATCCCGAAGCTCTCCTTGAAGGCTAGCGAGGCGCTTCTCTATTTCAACTCCCGCCTCTTGTAGTTCAGCCTCCAGATGTCGAACCTTGTTCTCGAGTGCTGCCTTCTCATTCTCCCACTCGGGTGAAGAACCGGAGCCTCCAGCCTGAAGACGATCCTCCAACTCCTCAATCTCCGTCTTGAGACGGCCATTCTCGGTCTTATAGCGGGACAGCGAGTCCTTGAGCTGCTTGAGCATCTTCTCTGTGCCCTTCACATAATGCACGGCTGACTGATAGTCACTCTCGAGCTGTGAGAGCTTCTCACGCCAGGCTGCTTCAGACTCCTGGACTTGGATTGCAAAGGTTTGCTTGGTCTCCTCGTGGGCAGCAGCCGTGTTCGCCAGTTGAGCTTCGAGATCTCGTACACGGGTCAGATCAGGTGAGTTAGTTCGTGGACTAGCAAGACCGCGGGCACGGATAGAGGCGGTAGGGCTGATGCCTCGTTCGCTAAGGATGTCCTTGAGAGCATTGTGTTGGACTGTCATGGCGTTTGTCTCGAGCTGTTGAGCAGCCAGTTGATTCTTGAGATCCGAGTTCGCTGCCTGGAGGCTTTGCGTCTCTCTCAAAGCAGACTGTAGCTGCCTCCTGATACCGACTCCTTCGCGGCTCGACTGCTCCTGGTATTGCTCTAGGCCGGCAATGCGCTCCTCGGCGCCACGCAGTCTATCAGCTGCAGCATCAGCCTCCTGTTGGTACTTCTTGACTAACTCGTTGGAAGCAGTGACCTGCGCCTGAAGGGCTGCAATGCGCTCAGCATCAGCGGTGCTGGCCGCAGGAGCGTCACGTGCCGAGATCTTGTCCAGTCCAGCAAGAACAGCTTGACGATGGGTTCGAGCCTCAGCAGCATGCTTCTCAGAAAGCTCCTCAGCATCGCGCAGCCGCTGGGTGGTAGTCACGAGTTCAGCTGTTCGAGCTTCGTGCTCAAACTTGAGCTTGTTGAGCTGTGCCTCTAGTTTCTCTCGCTGGCTGCGCTCCTCAGTGAGCTTTGACTCTATGAGAGCCTTTGAATCTTCCGAAGCTGCGATTGCGGCTCGCAGGGAATCGAAGGCATCGTTTTGATCCTTGGAGCTGCCCACAGCCTCCTCATACTTGCTTTCCAAGTCATTCTTCTCGATTCGAAGGAGCTCCGCAACAGCAACAGCCTCGGCACATGTGACGGATTGTTCACGCGCCTCGTGCTGAGCGAGATGCAGTTCCGCCTTCAGCCGTTCGACTTCAGTGGAGGTTTGCTGCTTGTAGCTTTCGAGCTCTGCCATGCGCTTCTGTGCAGCGTTCGTAGTATCATCTGCCAGTTGGCGAGCTCTCTTCTCCGAATCAAGGTCACTCTTGGTTGACTCGAGCCTGGACTGGACCTCCTTGTGAAGGTACAGAGCAGAGGCGAGCTTTCGGCTCAACTCACTCGACCTAGCCTCGGAATCATCTCTCGGTCCGTCAAGTTGAGGTGTACTGGCGTTGCTTCCACCCAAGTGTGCTGCAAGCTTGGCCTTGGAATAAACAGCCTCTTGAATAGCTGCATCACGCTGCTTCTCTGCTTCAGCAATCTGCTTTGCAGCAATAACTGCTTGCTTGTCCACTGCGCTTTGCACGTTGGCGAGCTCTGACTTCATGGCCAGCAGAGCCTCTATCAAGGGTCGATCCTCGTCGTCAAAGGTTTCGGTCGCCTTGTTCTCAAGTAGAGGGCTGTAAGATGTGTTGGGAGCGTAGCCAGCCTTACGAGCGAGTTCCAGTTCTGAAGCATACCAGGCGTTGCGGTTTCTCGCCGAGTCCAGCTCCTTGAGGAGGACAACAGTCTGAGAGTTCCTTCCAGAAGATCGCCGGGATAGCGGGTTGCTTGGTTGTCGAGTAGGAACTGGTGGTGAAGCTGGACGGGGCGTTACTGTTGGCTTAGCCGGTGGCTCTGATGAAGCATCTCCTGAGCCCGCAAATCGGCTTGGCTGAGAAGGCGGTTTGGCCCTGGGTACATCTCCGTTCACATGATCCTGCCTTGAGCCGGCACGGGCGGCCTGTTGCGTGGGTGTCCGTCGACCGTTCGAGGCAGGGCTATCCGTCTCGCTGATGACCTCACGTGTAATAGGCGATCCGGTGTGACCCATTCGAGGAGAGCCCGACATACCACCTCGTTCAGCAGACTGTCCCCGAACTCGGGCAACGGCAGAAGTGTCCACCGTGGGTCGAGCGGGCATAGGGCCCTGAGGAGGAGGTCCTGATGGAGGGGCAACTGAAGCTCTGGGCAGTTTCGAGTTCACAGGACCCCCCGGAGGTCCATGGACGTCAGCTGCATTAGGGGGTGATCGATGCCCGTTGGGGGGAGCAGATGGTCCTCCCACAATCATCTTTCTCGAATCGGGCCCGTTTGACCCATCTCGTGAGCCATGCGGGCGATTTCCCTCGCCAGCACTTGGTCGTCGTGCTCCGTGAATTCGCGGTTGGGCGCCCTGTTGCGCGGCCTGCTGTGCATCGTTTGGATACCTAATCTTGGATGTATCGAGGACGTATAGCAGACCCAAGTCGCTCACGGACGTAGTTGTTGAGCTTGGCTCTCCGCCGAGAACCACTATCGACTTGCCCACAGTCGTCATGCTATGTCCTGAACGAGGTGAAGGAGATGGACCCATGTTCTGGAACGTGTACCACCGTCTTGACGAGATCCTGAACGCCGCGAGATCGCCGAGGTCTGTTCCTTCCTCCGTTCGTCCACCAAAGACATACATAACGTCGTCCACGAGAGCAGCAGCATGGCCTTCGCGAGGCGCTGGGATGTAACCGATGCAGTCGAGTTGAGACCACTTGTTCACGGCTGGGTCGTAACACCAAACGTCGTTGAACCACTGGAAACCATTGGTGCCGCCAAATCTACCAACATGTCAGCCAGAACTATAATCAACAGACATCGGATAATGAATGCTTACAGGTACATCTTGTCGTTAAACGTAATCATGGTGTGGTTGGTTCGCGCGGCTGGCATTTTGGGACTTGTCTCTCCCTTGACCAAAATCTCCCAGCGGTTATTTGACATCTGGAGCTGGTTAAGATCGAATGCAGAAAGGTCATTCATGAAGAAGCCCTCGACTTGGCCACCGAAGATGAAAATCTTGGAGCCTAGTATATTAAGAGAGTGTCCATATCGACCCGATGGTCGTTGCCCAGCTGGCAGAGCGCGGGACCATTGTCTCGTTGCTGAACATCCGTTAGCTGAGGGAACGCACTGGATGGGGGATTAGAGCGTACAGGTATTGAGAAGGTAGAGAGTTTCGTCAAGAACATCAGACTCGTCGATCTTGGTGTCACCTCCATACACAATGAAAGCATTGCCAACAAGTAGACTCGAATGGCCAACTCTGGGCCCGGGTCCCTCTGCCGTCGTTGGCAGGGGATAACAGGCCATGTTGCCTCCAGCCTCAATCATCCAAAGATCGCCCTTCACGGTCGATCCGTTAATCAAACCGCCCATCATATAGACATCGCCCTCCTTGGAGGATACTGAATTTACGGCAGCGCCATATCGAGGGAATGGGGGAGGATGTGTTGAGGTGTAGGTCAATCGCCGTTGCGACCAGGGATAGAGGGACGCGTTAGGACTGTTCGCCGGAGGACCGTTGCGCTGTTACAGATCAGATTAGCAACTGTTGATACGCCCAAGTGATTGAATGAGCGGTTAACTATGCGCGGGCAACTTACTGGCACTTCTCCGACTTGTACGGGCTGATCAGCACTTCCACCGCGGCGTCCATGTCCATGCCCAGGCCCATGATCCGGGCTTCCATTGCTGCCTTCATTTTCGATTGAGTGTAAGCTCCCGGTGGGAGTTGCGCGATGCTGGACGGCATTCTTTTCGGCTACGCGGGCGCTGGCACTTTGGATCGATCCTTGTGAGCCAGAGCCGGCCTCGCGACTAACAGGCGCCTTCTCCGGGTGCTTCTTGGATTTGAAGAGGAAAGCCATGGTTGATCAGGAAGCAGCCGCTAAGCGGCGAAAGATTGATTTGGGAGCAGCACTTGGTGACTTTCGTGGCGATGATGCGATGAGTTGGCAACGATGATGGATAGTATCTCGGGGTAGCCGTCGCGTGTAAGAGAGGATCACGGGGAGACGAAGCGGATGGCCCGACAGGAGGGACAGACCTAGCCGCAGATGCAGGAACGAGAGTGATCGGAATTCGAGATTCGGGATGGCTGGGCCAGCATCGGCGACGGCGTCGACAGGATTGCGGATCGTCACTGGAAATTTTCGGTGGTAGTCAACCTCCCGAATTTTGGGGTGAGAGTCGACGAGAGGGGGTTGGTTTCGAGGCGGATGGATTGCGCTGGGCTGCCACACACCTTCGAGGAGCGCGGGACCTTTTTTGCCTTGTAAAATCGACCTGCGTCCAGGCAGTGAGAGAGTCGTTTAAGCAAAAAGCCGATGTCCAGACGCTCGAGGGGAGTGTGAATGAGCGACGATGCGGCGAATGGAGAAGCCCCCGTTGGGTTGGCGTGGAAGAAGGTGAAAGATGGGAGGTGGTGATGGTCAGGTACGGAGGAGTTGGAAATGAGCAGCCAGCCTGGAGCCAAAGGCGGCGACAGCTGCAACAGGAGCGAGCAGCACCAGCCAGCAGCAGCGACACGATGGATGGTTGGATGGGACTTGGTGCATCCTTGCTTTCGCCTCGTTGAGGTCGCCTGGGCTGGGTGGGTGTGCATGCGGTGCACTCCGCGCACTGGGTCCTGCCTTTAGGGGGTGCCTGTCCATGTGCCGGGTCCTCACAGCGACCTCAGGGCTCTGGCACCTCCTGTTGCCCGCTGTCCTTTGTTCAAAAGCCAGCGCCTTTCACCTGTAAACCCTGGAGCTCCTGGCCAATCGCGGGTCTTGCACCGCCCCGGCCATAGCCCGGCTCCAGCTTAGACGACATATTAGGTAGGGGTTGCAAGACGACTTGTACAGTGCCGCACTGCAGCGGATGGTGGGCTTTTGTGGGGGTGAGCGCGATGTGACGGGTACAAGAGCGGTACCTCACATGAGTGAGGGTCAGCGCCTGAGGAAAGGTACCATATAGTTCCCTGCAGGGGCGCAACGCCATCCCATATCCCTAGATGGGTCTTGGATCCAGGGGCTGGGAGTAACCCAACGTTGTCACATTTCTTAACGACCTCCTCAGTTTTACGTTGGAAAGGCACAAAAAGAAAAGATGGCCGGCCTGCCACTCTCGATACCATCTCGTCGACCCTTGAACCCTTTTAATTAATCTTGACCATTACGCAGGTGTGCCGCTTGGCTAGGGTTCCTCCCGTTCTTCCATTCTCTCCAGATCTTCCTTGCATCCCAAGTGTGGATTCTCCTGGCGGCTGGGGACCCGACACCAACTGGTGCCAGGCCGGAGAGATGGCCTGGCCCCTAAGGGATGTCACCCCTTTCACATTTAGAAACCCTCGTTGTTCATGGTGGCTGCCGATTTAGTCCTAGATCTTCTACAAACACTTGCTGTCTTGAGAAAAGTGGCAAGCCATATTGGATATTCTTAGAGCTCCATCGACTTGAAGCACAGGCTACCATTAGCCAAGGGATAGGCGAGCCCAACAGTCAAACATGTGCGTAGCTCCGGTGTTGTTAGAGAACCTGGATATGTTTCGTGTGCACCCAGGACGAGTCTCGGTCTGTCATCTCACCGTCGGTTCACACCCGGCTCTTGTAAGAGTGTAATAAGGCAAACACGACTACAAGCCCTGCCCTGGTAAAGCTCCGGGCTGCTTGACCTCTACATTTCCGATAGGCGTCGGCGGAAAGAGGACGTGTTTCTTCGACATCTGCGCTCAAGTGAGCATTCCATTAAATGGGACCTCTTGGCGACTGGGGATGCACGTCATTGGCTTCGATATTATGGATCCCGCAACCCAGCCGAGATATGTTGCTGACAGTACACCCAAAGGCCTCCGTTTCAGTCGGCAGTAGGATTCAACGGTGATCATCATAATCAGATGCTCGTGACCGGTTTTCAGCCTCGAAAGTTCATCCTGCACAGCTCCTCAGCATTCCCCAAAGCACGTTGCAGGCAGGGTTGTTGTTGAGCGAGGCCCTCCGCCCGGACATTAAAACGTCGTCTTCCAACTTACCAACGTCAACGCCCCATGTCAAGACTCGTTTCATGTTTCCCGCTAATGACGCCGGACGGAGCGGGCTAGAGCACAGGCCAAGCTTCCATTCTTTTTTTTTGCCCCACCCTTCAACCTTCCACCGTTCTGGTTGTCCTTGTTGGAAAAAGGGGAAACCTGGTCTTTGGATAAACCTCAACCATCAGCCCAAGATTCCTTAAACAGAAAGGTCCCTTCTCGATTTGTGGAAGCTCGTACAGTGTTTTCGTACTGTGGTTCATGCTGAGAAGAGGGTATTGGATGACGAGCTCGGCCGAGCAAGTAGTCATTCCCGCTCGCAACTTTTAGAACTCTTCACGCTCAAGCAAGATCTTCTTTCGCAAGTGGCACCGGCCCGCGGGTGTGGCCGTCCGTCTTACGGAGATAAGCCGCCGCTAAGGCGTCAATTCAACCTCGCAAGATCAGATATTGTCCATGTACAATCAGGAAGTTGTCGGTCTACGCGTTTGTCGACCCGATTGTCAAATCTATTTCCGCCGGGATCCGCTTTCGAGGTGCCAGCATTAGCCTGACTCTCCCCGTTTTCGAGAAGCAGAACAACACGATGATCCATGCTGCCGGTTACCAGATAGGGACAGTGATCGTAGCCGCCCAGACACCCTCAGCATCGGCGCTTTGGATAAGCTGTTATCGATTGGGCGGCAACATGACAGCCAGCAGACAACAGCGGCTACGGCTTGAAAGCTGACGAGTCCCAGGCATCAAGTGCCTGAACGACGGAAATGGCTGAGCAAATGAGATACGGCATGCCGCAGCCCGCCGATCTGCCAAGCTTGCTCCCGCGCCGAGTCTTGTGAAAGGGGATGCATGAGAGCGCATAATTCGTGGACGCTAGAGCTAGGTTTACGCATGTCAGTCTTGCTGGTGGGCTCCAAATCTGTCCGTCGTGTAACCACGGGTCGTGCATCCTTTCACAGCCATGCTGTGTAATACTGACAACTATAGATTTGGAGCTGCCTGTTGGGATGTTCGGTCGCTTCATCCAGATAAGAGACGAAAGCCACGTGCAAGGTCACGCGCAGGTCCCTCTTAACCATGTCAGGGTTAGCGCTTGTGGCTCGACTGATGCCAAGGCATGTGGCAGTGCGACTGTTGGCCGACTGGGGGTTGGGGTAGTGTAGCGCAGAGAGCGCATCAACGTGACATCCATGGAGACCATAATGGGCCGGTCAGTGGTCAGTGGTCAGTGGTCAGTGGGAGACTTGAGCTGAATTGCCGGGGACTCGATCATAGAATGCCGACGATCAGTCCTAGACGGAGCCGTAAAAGCATCAATTGTCAACGTTGAGAAAGTGCTTGCCAAAATTGTTAGGAATATTCCAAAATACACACATGACCCGAGGCCTCAGGCACCAGCTCCTAACAAATCATGACCGCGTTAAAGGGCGCTTGAGTTAGTGGCCCATCCGGTGTTAGGGATTCCTAATTTCTGCCGTGGACCTGGTCAGCCGCCGCACGCCGGCACCACAACTCTTGACCTCATCTTCTACACTGCAGAAACCTCGGTCGCGGGCTCAACTATATTTTATGCCCTCCACCGCCAAGCAATTCGGGCACTCCGAGCGCCTATTCATCATGCCAGCTTGAGCTTTACTGTCTCTGTAGAGTCCGAAAGCCATGACCGCTGTGTCGCTCCAACAGACGTCACCCGCTCCGCATCTGCTCCCCAGCCATAACCGCACCCGCTTCGCCGCCGCGAGCTCCTCCGCCAACGCCAGGCCATCGCCGACCCACGTCCACCACGACAACCACGCGCTTTCCCGCCACGATAATCTACCTGCGCCGGCAGCGACAGCGACAGCAACGCTCCGTGACCCTCCGCCCGCGATGGCGCTGAGATCCGAATTTAACGGCACCTCTGCGCCCACCGCCGACTCCAATGGAGTCGCCTCGAGAGCGCAACCGGTGCTGAATGGCCGCCCAGCTCCCAACCAACTTCCACGATCTGACGACGACGATGATGACCAACGACCCTCAAGCGCGCCAGGTCGACGCAACGGAAACGCGGTTCTCGAAACACGAGATGACATTGAGCATCACCAGCAACAGCGGCCTTCGAAGCCATTGCTACTCCGGTCCAAGAGCGACTACGCGCGGCCCATGGACGAACCAGAGATCGTGAAGGACGATATACCCGAATGGGGCGCTAGGCACGGCTTCGAGGATCACTACCAGTCCGAGGACATAATATCAGACCTGGCTAATGTAAGTTGTGCCTCCCATTCAGTCCTCATCTACTGGTCGGCCTGCGCGGATCCACCTAAGGTTGGATATTCTTGATATCGACGACTGGGGTGTATGAACCCTTCAAGATGGAGAGATATCCGCCACGGAGCCTTCTCTGCGCGAGGACCTCGCACCTTCTGTCCAGCGGTCGTCGTTCTGTCGCTGTCATTGGGTGATCAAAGCTCTTAAGCTTAAAACCCGGCACATGCATCTGCGGGATTTGGAGCTTGGATGAACCCATGAAGCTAACCACGACGTATAGAATTGGTACATGTACTTCACCGATAAACGACACGAGACGACAGGCAAACCCAAGCCGCTTCAATATGAGCTTCAAGACTGGCGACAGAGAGACAGGCTAAAGACAGTCTCTGCGGCCCTCGCAGTGTGTTTGAACATCGGAGTCGAACCACCCGACCAGCTCAAGACGAGCCCAGGCGCGAAGCTCGAGGCCTGGACGGACCCGACGATCCCGCCCATCCAGAAAGCTCTCGAGAACATCGGCAAAGCACTACAGGCGCAGTATGAGACCTTGGCGATTAGAGCCCGCTACAAGCAGTATCTGGACCCTTCGGTTGAAGAAACGAAAAAGTTCTGCATCTCCTTGCGTAGAAACGCCAAGGATGAACGTGTTTTGCTTCACTACAACGGCCACGGCGTGCCCAAGCCGACCGCATCAGGCGAGATCTGGGTATTCAACAAGAACTACACCCAGTACATCCCCGTCTCGTTGTACGATTTGCAACACTGGCTGCAAGCCCCTACCATCTTCGTTTGGGACTGCTCCGAGGCTGGCAACATCCTCAACAACTACCATCGATTCGTCGAAAAGCACGAGGAGGAGGAGGAAGAAGCTGCCGAGCGTGACCCCAACTACACAAAGACCAACTTCCGGCCATACATCCATCTGGCTGCATGTGCCGTCAAGGAAAACCTTCCGACGAATCCTCTCTTGCCGGCTGACCTCTTCACGGCTTGTCTCACAACACCCATTGAGATGGCGCTCTGGTTCTTTGTCCTTCAGAACCCACTCAAGACCAACCTCAGCCCAGACCGAGCCAAGAAGCTCCCTGGCCGCCTACAGGAACGACGAACACCATTGGGCGAGCTGAACTGGATCTTTACGGCCATTACTGACAGCATTGCGTGGACAACCCTTCCTCGCGACCTCTTCCGCAAGTTCTTCCGCCAGGATCTGATGGTGGCAGCTCTATTCCGCAACTTCCTGCTCGCTCAACGCGTTATGACTGTGTACGGTTGTCATCCACAGTCTTACCCACAGCTTCCAGACACTCACCAGCACCCTCTCTGGGAGACTTGGGATCTGGCTGTCGACATGGCTCTGGCTCAGCTCCCCATGCTGGAGAAGAAGGAGAGCGAGGGTCTCGACTACGAGTACCAGAATTCGACATTTTTCACAGAGCAACTCACTGCTTTTGATGTCTACCTGACGAGAGGCGACGCCATGGCCCAGAAGTCGCCTGACCAGCTACCCGTCGTTCTCCAAGTACTGCTTAGCCAGCAGCATCGAGTTCGCGCACTCATTCTACTTGGCCGGTTCCTTGATCTGGGCCCCTGGTCGGTACAGCTCGCTCTGAGTATCGGCATCTTCCCCTATGTCCTGAAGCTTTTGCAGTCTGCGGCTGCCGAGCTCAAGCCAGTGATGGTCTTCATCTGGGCACGACTCATAGCAGTAGATATATCATGCCAGCAAGACCTGATTAAGGATAGCGGCTACAGCTACTTTGCCCAGATTCTCAAACCCTCGGAGGGGCTGCCAGTTGTCGATAGCGACGAGCACAAGGCCATGTGCGCCTTCATCCTGGCCATGCTCTGCAAGGACTACAAGAACGGCCAGATGGTTTGCAACCAGACAGACATCATGACCTACTGCTTGACACATCTGCAGAACGAGGAGAACCCACTTTTGCGACAATGGGCATGCCTGTGCATAAGCCAGCTGTGGCAGGATCTCCCCGAGGCTAAATGGCGTGGAATCAGGGAGAACGCCTACGTCAAGTTGGCCTATCTCACAAAGGACCCCTGCTGTGAGGTTCGAGCTGCTATGGTTCACGCCATGACTACTTTCCTGGGCATACCTGACCTCACGGACGAAGTGGCTCGCATTGAGGAGTCTATCGCGTGGACGATCCTTGACATGGGCAATGACGGAAGCCCGATGGTCCGGAAGGAGTTCGTCGTCTTCCTCTCACATTTCGCAGTCCGATTTGAGAGCAAATTCCTGGTTGCAGCCTATGAGCAACTGGTAGAGGAGAAAGAGTATCTAATGTACCCTCCTCAGGATGACGGCCAGGAGCACAAAATGGGCCTCCATTACGCCAGGCCTGAACACCGTAACCAGGACGGAACGATCAAGTCGACCTCCCAGGGCTTGTCTCACAACACTGTCTACATGGCGCTATGGAAACTGGCGCTGGTGCTCAGCGTGGATCCTCACCCCGAAGTGCAACGAGAGGCGACCATCGTGGTTGACTTCGTTCACCACACCCTCCTCAACTCGAGTGTTGGCGCCCCAGCACAGCTAGTCATGGCTGAGATCCAGAAGCGTGCTTCGAGGTTGGCACACCGTCACACACCCAGCGCCAGTCAACGGACAAGCGCCGCGAACGCTCAAGTTACGCAACCATTGCCTTCCCCTGGACTGCTCCGTAGGACTGCCAGTCTCCTATTCCCTTCGTTGATGAACACCGAGGACAGGTCAAGACCATCAACGCCGACAACACCAACTCCACCGCTTCCTCGATCACCCTCGCTGAAGCTCACGCATAGTCCCGTACCACCTGAACAGAATGATCAATCATCGTCATTTGCACAATATCATCTCGCTCCTGAACCCTACTCCGGCGCCTACCAGAATCGAAACTTGGCAAAGCCCCCAACCCTTCCGCTCAAGAGCAGGTTCTTAGAATGGTCGATCGAGTACTTCCGCGAGCCACAAATGAAGCCAAGTGAGGCGGACGAGCCCGGAAGCACCGAGTACAACGAGCGTCTCTGGCGAAGAGCTCGCAACGAGGCTATCTTCCGAGAGACTCAGCCATTGAAGCAACAAGCCGGAAGTCATAAGTGGAACAACCAGCTCGGTATCGTTAACAACGGTGCTCAGCCCGCCAAGATGACCTTCCACCAGTTTGAGGATCACCTTGCTGTAGCCGATGAAGGTAATACCGTCTATGTGTGGGATTGGAAGAAACAGGGCCGCTTGAGTCGATTCAGCAACGGAAACCCAGAAGGGTCCAGGATCAGCGACATGAAGTTCATCAACGAAGACGACCAGGCGATGCTTCTGACGGGCTCCTCGGACGGTGTGATCCGGGTATACCGCAACTACGAGTCCGACAGAGAGATTGAGCTTGCGTCGTCTTGGCGCGCCCTGACACACATGGTTCCCAGCAACGTCAATTCAGGCATGGTGTTTGACTGGCAGCAGGTGACGGGCCGAGTCCTTGTTGCTGGTGATGTCCGAGTGATTCGAGTCTGGTATGCGGCGTACGAGACCTGTATCATGGACATCCCAGCGCGGTCTGGGTCGTGCGTAACATCATTGACTTCGGATCAGATGACGGGACACATGTTTGTTGCCGGCTTCGGAGACGGAGCTGTACGAGTGTTTGATACCAGAAATCGACCTCAAGAGTCCATGGTGCGCAAGTGGAAGGATGAGTCAGATCGGCAATGGATTAAGAGCGTCCATATGCAGCGCGGAGGTCAGCGGGAGCTCCTGAGCGCGAGCCGAAACGGCAAGGTCAAGGTGTGGGATATTCGCATGGACAAGCCTCTGCATTCTTTCCAGACAACACGAGATACTCTTCGGACCGCGACCACGCATGAACACCTGCCGGTCTTTGCTGTGTAAGTACCTACCTACCTAGATAATCAGGTGCCGGGTGGTTGGGTTTACAGGGATCATCGCTAACAGTCTCGGCAGGGGAACGTCAGCCCACTCGGTCAAGGTCTTTAACCTCGACGGCCATGAGCTCTCCAACGTTGAGCCATACTCAAGCTTCCTGCAGCAGAGCCGAAGCTCGCCCATTTCGGCGACGGCATTCCACCCCCACCGACCCATCCTGGGGTGCGCCGCTAAGGGCGACCACCACATCAACCTGTTCACCTGCGAGAAGTCTGAGCCGCTGTCCCTGGGCTAGCGACCTTGGGCCCGCCGGTTAGGCCTCTCTTGATGCGCTGAGGGGAGGAGGACATGGTGGACGCAGTTTGATACCCAGATGGAGGAGGAGGCTGGAGAGACGGCCACGCAAAAGGCGTGGCGAGGGTCCAGACGGACGGTAATTCGTGCTCTGCATAGGCTGCATATCATATCATATCATCCGGGGTTTCGTTTCTAATACGGGCGTTCAGGGGCAAGGTAAGCGAGGCGAGGGGAGGCTGCGTGTTGACAGCGATTCTACTAATTGACGGACATGTTTGTCCGGAGCGGTGGCCTCGCAACGGAGTGATGAGTTAGACGGGGGAGGCGATTCAGGAGAGGTGTACGATATTCTTAATGCGCATTGCCGAGTTGATTGATGGCGTTAGAAGATTAATGATTAGGGAATAGCCAAATTCAAGCTCAGGTTGAAGATGTCAAAGGTAGCCCAAGAAATTCACCGTGATCACAGACACGAAGATATCCATGTTTTCAATCGAGGTTCTTTCCCATGACGGGATGAAGGGCATCTCCGGAAGGGAAGGCGCATTGCCATCGGGCGCCAGCGCCTTCCATACCGATAGGTAACCCCACCATGACGCCGCGGTCGAGGGCGAATCGTCTGGTTTGGCGGGGCAGGTGCGGCCACAACCAAGGGACCCCGCCATTCCGTTGCCTGGATCTTATTTGGGAAACCACCATTCCACCACCACTTCACACTTTTTTATGCGTCACCTCACTTTCTCCGACATCGACACCGACACAGTCATTGTCGATTTCATCACCTGATTTTCGCTCCGGTGTCGTCCTTAGTCAATTCGACTCACCTTGACTCGTTACCGACCCTATTTCTTCCTCGACCTCCCCCCCACCAGCGATCGTTCCGCGCCTCGAGCAGAGATACCCCGCCAAAAAATCTACTATCTATCAAAGCAACAATTTCATCATGGCTGACGCCCCTACCGAGCAGCCTACCGCTCCTCCTCCCGCTGAGGAGAAGGCCCCCGCCGCCGAGGGTGGTGAGGGTGGCGAGGCTGGTCCCTCCAAGAAGGCGCTGAAGAAGGCTGAGGCCAAGGCCAAGAAGGAGGCCGAGAAGGCCCGCCGAGCTGCTGAGCACGAGGCCAGGCAGGCCGCTGCAAAGGCTGCCGCTGGCAACACTGAGGATCTCGCCAAGGACAACTATGGCGATTCCACCCACCTCACCAAGATCGACGCCGAGCGAATCAAGCTCCGAAACCTTGGCGATGAGCACCTGGGCAAGACCATCAAGCTCCGTGCCTGGATCCAAAATGCCCGTATGCAGGGCGCAAAGATGGCGTTTGTCGAACTCCGTGAGGAGCGTGACTGGGCCATCCAGGCTGTTGTCGCCGCCAGCCCCGAGGGCGCACCTGTCTCCAAGCAGATGGTCAAGTGGATTGGTGGTCTGAACCTTGAGGGTTATGTCCTTGTCGAGGCCAAGGTGGAGAAGCCCCTTGAGCCAGTGAAGAGTGTCAAGGTTTCCAACTACGAGCTGCACCTCACCAAGTGCTATGTCATCAGCCCCGGTCCCCAGGTCCTGGGTATGGGTCTTGCCGTCGCCAACAGACCCGTCACCAACTTTGACGATGAGGATGCCGGTGGTCCTGTCGAGGAAGTCAAGGAGGGCGTCGACAACCTGAGCCTCGAGAACGCCCCTGGTGCTAGCATGGCTACCCATCTCAACAACCCCGTCATGCACAAGCGAGCTCCCGTCCAGCAGGCCATTGCCGATGTGCGTATGACTGTGCGCAAGCTGTTTTCCGAGTACCTCGAGGCGAGAGACTTTGTTCAGTTCGAGCCCCCTTGCCTGATCGGAGCCGCTTCTGAGGGAGGATCCAACGTATTTGGCCTGCCCTACTTTGATAAGCAGGCCTTCCTGGCCCAGTCGCCCCAGTTCTACAAGCAATATGAGATTGCTGGTGGTCGAAAGCGGGTCTTCTGCATTGGCCCCGTGTTCCGAGCTGAGAACTCCAACACTCCCAGACACATGACCGAGGTAAGTTGATACCGAGACCCGAGCTTGAGATTGAATGCGGATGCAGATGCTGATCGACTGCTCTAGTTCACCGGTCTCGATCTGGAGATGGAGATTGAGGATCACTATCACGAGGTCCGCGAGATGCTGGAGGGCGTCCTTCTATACATTTTCCGAGGTATCAAGGAGCGATGCGCCGAACAGATCGCCCTCGTTCGAACCGTGTATCCCTCGGAGGACTTCCTCCTTCCTGAGCCGGGCAAGGAGGTTCGTCTTACTTTTGCTGAGGGTCAGGCTCTCCTCCGTGCAGAGGGCCCCGAGGAGTACCGCAACGTGTCTGACGACGAGGATATGTCGACACCTCAGGAGAAGGCGCTTGGCGCGCTGATCAAGGAGAAGTACAACACCGACTTTTACGTACTTGACAAGTTCCCCGAGGGTGCGCGACCCTTCTATGCGCTGGAGGACCCTGAAAACCCCAAGGTGACCAACGCATACGACTTTTTCATGCGAGGCCAGGAGATCCTCTCCGGCGGACAGCGTGTCCACGTGCCCGCGACACTGGAGGCGCGGATCCGCAGAAAGGGTATTGACCCAACCAGCCAGGGCATCAAGGAGTATGTCGACATCTTCCGCAGCGCTGGAGTGCCCCCGCATGGCGGTGGTGGTATCGGCTTGGATCGGGTGGTGGCATGGTATCTCAACCTGCCAAGTGTGCACCTGGCGAGCTACTACCCTCGCACGCCCAAGAGACTTTTGCCGTAAGAAGAGAATTGCAGGAGCGAGGCTGGTAAAGGTCGGCTTCAGAAGCCGAATGGAGCTGCAGGGACTGGGGCTACAGACTACAGTAGACAGAGACAGAAGAAAGAGGCCAGACGGGTGGTTGTAAAAAGAAAGATTAGCTGGGATCCAATGAGAGATGGGTATGTAGGTTACAAGCTGAGATGGAAGGGATCAAGCCAATTGGAGTAGGTTAGACAGACATATGACATGAATCATGACCCATCTCACCTTGCTAGCAGCAGCTGTGTCCCCATGACAGCGTGGGCCCTCTACGTAAGTGGTGCATTTCGGGGGTACATGAAGAGATGACGACTACTGTAGTGTGCAGCGCTGTGCTGTACTGTACTGTACAGTACAGTACTGCGGCATTAGAGAGGGAGTGGGCGAGGGTTAGATGGAGGGATGGATGCAGCTGAAGCGATGGCGTTGAGCCTCAAGTGCTTTTTCAGGGACTTTGTGGATGACGGCGTTGACAGTGGAGGGTTACAGGGGAGGGGAGGTGGGACACGGGGCGGGCTGTGAAGCGAGCGTGGGGCAGCCGTTACAGTGATGTACCTGCCCTGCCCTTGACACTATTCAGCAGGTGCGTAGGCTACTTACCACGTACCGATGGTAGTTGGGGGTGGTACGTATCTCTGCATCCATCCCGTACTCGGCAAGACGGGTGCCACCTTTTCCGAGTGGCAGGTGCGGACGTTGAATTGGAGAGCGAAGAGTGGGGTTACCAGTTGCTTAATCGAGCCGGAGGGCGGGTGGGATGTAGATTTGAGTGGGGCCGGGGTGGGATGCCGATATTTGGAATGGCAGAATGGATATCTCTAGCGTCAAGGAAAAACTACTGCCTGCCTCCATTACCTACCTACCTTGGTAACTTAACCACCACGTACGTACATACAGTAGAGATGCAGCTCTCAGAGACCCTGGACTATCATACATATCAGATCAGCAGCGGAGGGCGTGTCTCGGAGGGAAAATGCCGCCTCCCCGGTCCACGGGTTGGTTAGATTGGGCATCCAGACGTTCTCTCGCTCTTACTTCCTCTCTTTTCTACCAATCTCCTCGGCTGCATACACGCATGCATGTGCATAGGGTCTTGGGTTCACGGCGAGTCTTTGGTCCAAAGGTCGGGGAGGGGTCTCAGGCTGGGACAGACTCCCAGAGACAGGGCCGTTTCAGCGGGGGCGCACCAGGATGAGTTTGGGTCTTGGGTTACACATGGACAGACAGTCAGACACATGCTAAAGTCGGTAGTAGACGTTACCGCGTAGATAGTCAGGGAATTACGGGAAGCCTACCGGTGACACTGCAGAACTCAACTCAATGATAGACACAGACTTACATGGGATGGGGTAAGAGGGCCACTTAGCTCCCTGACCTTGGGGTCTCAGCTCCAGGATCTACATCTAGTTTAGTCTCCGACCAGTCATCCGAGACGGCATCTCCAACATCACCTCATGGCAATCTCAGCGGTTCCCAAGCTGCGGTTTTACGATGGATTTTCGGGTCACGTCGATTCTCGCAGAACGAAAAGCAAGGCCCAGGGCAGATGAGGGGAGAATGGAAAAAGGAACACGAGCACGGTTAAGGCACCAAGGAAGGCTCAGCCAAGCCGAGAGCGGCCTAGCCCATGCTGCTGGCTGTTTCGAAGCTGTCGTACGCAACGCACCTCAACTGGGGGGGGTCCCTCTGCATTACAGCACGCACGCACAGTACATTACAGGGCCATCTGGCTTGTGCGGGCGCCTAGGCGGGCGGGCGGCCGACTGAACAGAGAGCGCGATTGGAGCTGTGCCCTGAGGGGGTTGAGGCGTCCATCGGGTTTGTTTTTTTCCTGCCTGTATTTGATGAGCTGGCTGAACAAACTAGGACCTAGGGCGGGGTTAACGATGGGGAATAGGGCCGAACAAAGGCATGCAGGGTTCCTGTAGGGCTGCCGGGGGGAGTAGGAGTATGATTATGACGGGAGCAAGAGGGAAGAGGAGGATGCTACTAAAATACGAGCAAAGTTTGGCGATGGTGTTGAAGCTGAGGTTGAAATTGGAATAGATTCATCAAGTTTGCCGATCCCGAAACAGGGAATAGAGCACAAGGTAGCAGATAGATGATATGAACGACAGTCTACAATGGGCGTGTGTTCAGTCAATTGCCGTAACAATGCCAAGTTACGGCAGAGCCAAAAGGGTAATGTTAAAGAATCGTCTCAGAAAAGGACTTGACAGGTAAAAGCAAATAACAAAAAATAAAGAAGAAGAAAATCCCCATGTCATACAAACGAATTTCCCTTAAAGCCGCAGAAACCCATGCGAAGCGAAGATCCCGCATCCGCATCGACAACCCCATGTGATGGATCACAGCCCGCCCAGACCGAGTTAACGCAACGTACTAAAGGCCCAGGATCAAGCGGCCCACTAACAGCCAGTTCCCAGCGCCAAAAGGCGGGCAGCAAACAAAGACAGACAGGGAGGATCTAGACCAGATTGTCGAATGGCGCATGATGTTGATGAGGGACCGTTGAAACTATGATTATCTGTTTCCCCATCCTGGGGGACGTTGACGCGCAACCGAGTCAGTCTTGAAAGCTCGAGGGGAATGACGCCCACATGGTTGCGTCTTGGCATTACCTATCCGAGGCCGGTGAAGAGGAGGAGCTCCCTGTTCTGTAGCTACCCAATTCTGTCCATGTCACCTTGACCTTGCGCTTCCAGTTTCCTCTGGAGCTCTATACGAACGTTGGGAGTTCGGGGGGGTTGTGAGATGTACGATATAGAGGTGGCATACAGACAGTGAGCGTCAGTATATCTGCTCCTTTCGGTACGGACCGGTGCAGCGGGACATGGAGTGCAGCTCTTGGCCAACTGGAAATCATTATGAGCGCCTGATAACGCCACCTATGGCTTTCATTCTGAGAGAGGCAGCTGCAATGACATTGGAGCAAAGAGACACTGGTCCCAATGGCGGGTAGGACGTGCCGCCATCTCACATTGGATCGCAACTGCAACTGCAAATCCCGGGATAGCGGGTAAAACGGGGTGAAGAGAAGCTAAGAAAAGGTGGGCAGAAAGATCCATGCCTGGGTGAAATCAAGCGACGACGAATAAGCTATCCAGTAACGTCGGCCGCCTTGCTGCAGCTTCCATCTCGTTAGCTTCAGCCTCGCTCTTGGGCGTGGGTGGAAGTGGAACCTTTGTCATCCAGCACTTCGGTAAACTTCTTGGTGCATTGGCATCCATCTCCCGGGACCTTTCTCCCGTGAGACGGCGAACTAAAGGCGGAATCTCCTCTCCTCTACCCTTTTTCCCATCAAACATTGGCCGAGCCCTTGTTCTCCCGTCGGGGAAAAAGAAGAAAGAAGTGAGCATGGGATAGGGATAGGGATACAAGCAGCATCTCCCTAGGTATGCAAGTTGAAGGAAGATACCGTCGACCCAAGAAAACACCAGGCCTTTACTGTATATCGCCTAGCTCGCAGATACATCACCACCCACGGCACCTTCAAGACCTTTCCTTTAAAGGGCCCCTCCTTTCCCGTCCTCCCGTGGCTGGCCAAGTTCGTGTGTGACGAGACGAGGTCCACGTTGTTGTCGCTGTCGTTGTCGAGGTACCTTTTACGCTGCACAGCGCCCACCGAGTACCTACCCTCTCCTCTCTACCAACACTGGACTGAACTAACCTTACCTGACACCCACCTCCTGGTACCTGCCTTCCCTGCCCGCTGCAGTGATCAAGCATCATCTTTGCTCCATCGCTCGCTCCTGCTCCTGCTCTTGCCTTTCATCCCTCCTCCTGTCTCTCTTTCCTCTCTCGCTCGCTCGCTCATCAACCACCTCGTATTAATCCAATCCCCGTCCAACTTGGTCTCAACAACTTCATTTGACAACCTCTTCTCCCCCTTTTTGACGTCTTCGAGCTTTGGCTCTTCAATACGAACTGTTTAGTCATCTCGAAACAGAGCCCATCTTCTTCTTTTCGCAATTGCGCGGCCATTCTCCTCCTTCTCCACTTCCCTACCTAACGTATCGCCAAAATCCAACCTCCGCCGCCTCCGATCGCTACACCATGGACTTCACCGGACAATACAACTTCCCCGGCACTCAGCCCTACCACCAGTTTATGCCGATTCCTCCTCTAACACCATCGCACTCGCATTCTGCCGGCTCCGACGACTTTAATGCATCCCCGCCTGTCAGTTGCTCCCCTTCTCCGCGATTTCCCCCACTCCCCCAGGTGCAGCCCTGCCTTAGCGCTCCTTACCTGAGCATTACTCTATCAATCTTTGAGCCTCAAGCCCAACCTTTTGCCCGCCGTTTTCACCAACGGCATTCCTGCATCGAGTTCTTATAAACCCGACGTCCCCTGTGTTCCTCTGCTGATCCTCCTCCTTCCCCTCGTCTAGGAAAACTACGACAACTTGCCCACAAACCACAACGATCAGTTCCAGGCCTTCGACTACGCCTCCCAGGGCTTCAACGGCAACCCTCACCAGCCGGCTACCGCTTTTCCAGGGCCGCCGACTCCTCCTGGCCAGAACGTCTTTGCCGCCCAGGTCCAGTCTGTTCATCACCAGCAGCAGCAGCACGGTGCCGCCAAGATCGACTCCCCCGAAGACCAGAATGGCGTTCGTGGTGGTAGCGAGGAGGATGATAACCTGACACCGGCCCAGTCCCGCAGGAAGGCCCAGAACCGTGCTGCGTACGTCCCTCTTGCTCTCCTTCTCAGATCGTGACCGAGGAGTCCGCATCTGCAGTGGTACATCAAGCACTGTGGAGTGGCCTGACCAGATCCTTGGCACGAGACAAATAAACCCCTGAGCTAACACTCTCTTCTCCCAGACAACGTGCTTTCCGTGAGCGAAAGGAAAAGCATGTCAAGGACCTTGAGGCTAAACTCGCGGGTCTTGAGGCGGCACAGCAACAAGCGTCCCTCGAGAACGAACGTCTGAAGCGAGACCTCCAGAAAATGTCGACTGAGAACGAGATTCTGCGTGCCACCTCGCACGTCGGCCATGGCTCCATCTCTCCAGAGCCTGCCACCGGCCCGATGCGCTTTAACCCTACCGAATTCTACTCCAACGTCCTCCAGAACCACACCAACAAATCCCCCTCGCACCGCATCGTCACCGCAGATGATGGCGAACGGCTTCTTGCCGCCGGCGCTGCATGGGACTTTATCATCTCTCACGAACTCTTCAAGAAGGGTCTTGTCGATATTGGTGATGTGAGCGAGCGCCTTAAGCACTGCGCACGATGCGACGGTCAAGGACCTGTCTTTTCGGAGCGTGCCATCAAGAGCGCCATTGAGCAGAGTGTTGCCAGCGGCACGGATGACCTTTTGTAAATGGTCACGAAAGAGGAGAAGTGAGCAAAAGGAGGATACGCGGCGTATACGGATCTTGGATGATTGATGTGTATCACGGCGAAGGAGGCTGGTCTGGTGGATTGGATACCCCGCCCGCCGGGGCTTTATGGCGTGGCGTTTTATGCTTGTGATTCTCGTTTGGTCCAGGAAGTCGACTGTTGAAACTCCTTTGGGGGGTGATCAAGGACTCTTGTTGAGGACGTGCATAGCCTGATGATATACGACGAGCACAGCGGGTACAAGGAGTTACTAGGGGGGATAGACGTGGATCGTACGTAAGGACGACCAGGCCGAGGGGATTTTGTCTTTGATTTTTGATTTTTTGTGTGCTTGGGTTTATATGTAGTGATATTTGAGTGAACATAGGAAAAAAAAAAGCGGTTCAACAGTCATGATAGTAACGAGTCTCGAGTACAAGCACTTGATCAATATACTTCTATTGTCTAGCAGCTCAAGTAAGGGCGAGATGGACGACGGGCAAAGCAATAATAATTCCGGTGCCCAAGAAGCGATACCTTGGGCGCATTTTAATCGTACACTGTGTTGTACATGTACCATCAGTCTCCAACAAGGAACGATAAAGACAGACGACGCTACGCCAAAAACTCCAACCAAAACAAGATGAGAATCATATCCTTATCCTCCTCATGATGCAGTACCGTCCGTCATATAACAAGCAACAAAGAAAGTCCCTTTTTTTTCTTCTTCTCCTCGTCCACCTCTTAGAATTAGCGTCTTCTCACGTCTTGAATCTATGCGAGAAGCAAGTAGCAAGCAGGAACCCTCTAGATATCCGTATCCCTTTCTATTTCCACCCGTCCGTCTGCCAAACCGCCTCATTTTGTTGTAACCCTCGCCCACTCTCATCGATATACCATGCCCAAGGACATGCCAGTATATCTCTTTTGACACGTCTTATCCACCGACTTTAGTCAACCAGTGATTCGACACGATCACAGCTCGGAAGTGATGCGCCAGCAACTCATGGTCCGAGTCAGTTGTCGACAAATGTCCAATTTGGACACTTAATCCTTCTTCATGCCGTTGGACTGCTCCTCGTGCTCGACGTAGGGGTGCTTGATAGTCAAGCACCAAATGTCGAGGTAGTCGCAGATGGTGACGATGACGTCAACGACAAAGCTGCCGTAAACGCCGACAGCGGTACCGAGCATCATGAACATGAAGGCCACCTGGTAGACGTTATCACCGAGGGCGCTGGGCCAGCCATATCCGAGGTAGCGCTGGAAGATGGGGCCCATGGAGTCAATGACGCCAAAGGCAATGGGCAGGCCGAGGACGTTCCAGTAAGGGAAGCGCAGGTGGACAAGGTGGGCGGTAATCATCTGGCCGACGCTGTAGGCGTTGACGAGGCCGGCGAAGAGCGCAAAGGGGATAAGATGGCACTCGCGGATCTTGGGCTGAAGGTGGAGGTAGGCGACGATCAGAGCCCAGATGCTGAAGAAGGGGACGAGGCCAAGGAGAGCACCGCGGGAACGGTCGCCACGGGAGCGACGGGCACGGATGACGTTGAGGGAGGACTCGACCGTGTTGAAGACGAGCACAATGCCGCCCTGAACGAGGTACCACTCAGTGAAGGTCAAGTTGTAGACGAAGGACGGAATGCCAAGGTTCGAGGGCACGCCGACGGTCTGGAGCATGCTCTGCTGCCAGAAGTGGGCACCACCGACGAGGCCAGTGAAGATGAAGACGCAGACGATAGCTAGAACGCCTTCAACGGGGCCATTGACAATGCCGAGGGTGAGGGTCTTGGTATGGTAGGTCTCCCAGGTCTGGACGTAGAAAGTGAGAAGGGCTAAAGAGAGTTAGTTAGCACGTTGAAAGCAAGGTTCTGATCGCATCGTCTTACATGCAAACAGAGTGGCTACGGTCTGCCAGCTCTGGCCCATGTTCTGAGAGGCGGCGAAGATGAGGACCTCGAGGGAAGTGTTGCAAGCATCGACTCCATGATCGAAAAGTTCGCCGAGGGGTCCGGACTGTCGGGTTCGTCGTCTATTGCCCGAATTAGTAGCTGTCGCAACCCATCTATTCTCCAACCCTCGTCTCGGTAGCAACTTACGCCTGAGATCCGTCCACAGCGTCAAATGTCTGGTACAGAAACAAGCCCAGGGCCCACGAGTAGTACACCCACGAAGGGCAGTCCTGGTCGAGTGTGGGGTTGTACCATAGCAGGGTGAGGAAGTTTGCGACGACGAAGGAGAAACCAGTGAGCGTGATGAGGTTTGGGGCCATGCTCATGGGGAAGCACTTGATGACGAAGTTTGTGTAGAATGGCTTCAAGACATATTTGGAGAGCAGCGAGCGATCGACGCCCGAGTACTTGTACTCGCGGAGCGCGGGGAGCTCGCGTTGCCGTACGTAGACCATGGTTGGCGATGGCTTCACACAGTGGTCAAGTTGGAATAATGATTGCTTGCTCGTGTGTGCTTGTGCTCGCGCTTGCTTGTCGGATGCGAGGTTTCGGGTCGATCGGAGGAGAGGTCGGTCGGTCTGTCGGTAGGTCGGTCGTTATCGTGTCCTCTTTTTTTTTTCTCTCCCTCGAGCAAGTGGGTAATAAAGGCGGTTGGTTTCTCGTCCGATCCCGCTCTGCAGCTCTTGTATGCGCTGGCTGGCTCGCTGGCTGGCTTGCTCGCTTGATCCAGATCCACGCGCGTGTCGACCGAGACTTGTTGCAGACGATTTTCTTCTGTTGAATCCGTGTCGCTGGAAGGTACCACCCGCGTTCAGTTTCAGCTTGCGACAAGTGTTTGAGCAAGAGTCTGCTTATTAAAAGAATACGAGAGGGTCGTCGGAGAGACCTTGGTTGCCGTGAGAGGGAGAGCAAAGAATGGATGGAATGGCTCACAGAAAGAAAAAAAAATGCCAGCACGAGCAAAAGTGGATCGGCACAAACTAATAAATGAATGCCCTCTGAAATCATGCGCTCCTTCCTCCCCTTTCACACGACACCACTACCATACTGTACTTGCACCATACCTGCCATGTCAAGAAAGGGCTCGAAAACCGGTAATTTGGCAACAACAGCCACAACCCACACACGAGCTCACTCACTCACACCATCCTTCCCTCCCCTCCCCTCCTTCTCTAACGCATTTCAATGCGAAATTAACGGACAATCGATAAGGTCCCGGCTTTTGATGGTGGGCTCTAGGTAGGGGGCCCCCTGACAAACGTCATGGGAAGACCCACTCACACCTCGAGTCAACTTCCCTCAACCTTGATCGTGGACTTCAGCGTCACCTCTCGTTCATGTGCCATCATCCATCATACATCAAACATCCATGTCTGCAGCCCAGTTACACCTGGCCATGTGCTTCCCCTGTCATCCATCTCATGACCCCAACTTGAATCTACTGTACACTATCTCTTGATCTCCTCTTGTTGCATTATCCAATCACCCTCTCCTCTATAATCTCTACCTGATCTTCCCACTCATCCCCAACCAGGCACGCCATGACATCAAGACAATCCAACTTTGTCACGTCCAACATACTACTCACGCTGGCCAACACATCACGACCATCATTATCTGTACACCGTGATTTAAATGTTTTGCTTCATTCATTCATATCGGCTAATGTCTACCGTAAACTATCAGTAAACGAATCAGCCGAGTTGTATTCCCTTAACCCTCGTATCCATCCTTCAAGGCCGACATCTGGACCCAGACTTCCACGTCCTTGTCCACCTGTATGTCGATAGCACTAATCCCTTCCTACTCCATTTTTGTTTTTGGCAGAAGCCATCCATCCAACCTTCCTTTTCGTACTTATTCCCAAACTATTCCTTGATACCATCATCGACATGTGGAATAGTTCATACTCGTCCGAGTACATCACCCTTTCCAATCATCCATCACCTTATCCCTCATCAGCCTAAAATGCCGAAAACTCCTGGGCGTACTTCTTCTGCAACTCATCCTCCTGGAACTGCTGAACCTTGACAAAGGCCATGTTGAGCAGAGGCCCAGCAAGCTCCGCCACCGAGAGGTGCTCGATCTTCTCAGTTTCCATCGATCGTTGCTCACCACCCTTCTTGATTGGGCGACCATCTCCCACAGCTCCGAACTTGCACTTGGGCTTGGGGAACTGGACATCCCATGCGAGTTCCTCGGTTGTGGCACTCATGAAGTTGGCGCCGGCGTACCAGGCGCGTTCCACCATCTCGCGTCGCTTCTGGAGCTTGTTGGCCGCCCAGACATCGTTGTTGGGTGCGTATCGACCGGCCGAGGTAGCTGGAGTCGGGTTCCAGCAAGTAGGATAGGGCAGCTGCTGGGTGAGAAGGGTTTCAAAGGGACAAGCCGGCTTGTCGCTGGCCAAACCACACGGGTTCGCATCTCGTTCCTCGTTGAGCTTCGCAAGGAAAGCCTTGGTAGATGACATGGTCTTCTGAGGAGTGACTGAGATGGGTGCAGTGCTCAGAGAAGCTGTCTGCTTGAACAGAGGAGACTTGAGCTCGTGTCTCTTCTCGTCGATTCCCGCCTGCTGAAGGGTCTGTCGTGTAATCATGAGGACATCATCGTCATCCTCCTGGTCGAGATCCTGGCTAGAAGCTTGGGGCTTGAGGGCCTTGAAGGTGGACTTGAACGTTGAAGGTCGATATTGGCGCTGGCCAGGAGGGCCTGCACTCAAAGGTCGAGGAGCTCCGGGGCCGGAGGCGAGGGTTGCAGAACCGAACTTGTCAGAAATGCGGCCGCCGACTGCGGTATCGAAAGGCTTGACAGTGTCGGGCTGAATGGCACACGACTTGTCGGGAGGATTCCAGAACCCATCGTCTTGAGGTCGACTGTAGCCAATGGTCTCTGCCTGGGCATGTCGCAACATGCTGGGAGAATCGACATGGATTTGGAGCGGCTCTTGGGGACCGGGACGTCGGCTGAGGGGAGTCGAGGGTTCCTCGCTGCGCGTAACCGCCTTGTAGCCTTCCATGGCCGCCTTGGTTCCGCGAGAAAGCGCCTTCTGAGCCCTCTTCTGGTTCGGGTTGGGGTAGGAAGCCAGGTTCTGAAGAGACTTGACTGTCATGTTCAGCAGCGGGTCCATGCCCAGCTCATACTCAGTCTCGTTATCGTCACTAGCCTCAGCGTCGCTAAGAGCGTCGTGCACGACCTCGGAGAAGAGAGAGGCGAGAGGCGAAGGGGTGGCCGAGGCCACAAGGCGCGGGACCTGAGCGGACATGTTGGCGCAAGTGTGCTCGGTGTCGTGAATGGGGCTGATGGCCCGGTCGAGGGTAGTCTGCATAGGGCTGTGCTCCTGGCTCGACGACGAGTGGTTGACAAACTTGACAGGTAGAGATGCCAGGGCGGACTTGGGGAACAAGGAAAGGCCAGCAGTGTGAAGGCCAGCCGACCACTTCAGCGAGCGGCCTCGACGAGCAGGCGGCTGGAGCGGCTGGGCAGTACTGGGATTGTATGGGGTGCCAGCAGTGGTGTAGGTGACCTTGGAAGCCGAAGTGGGCGCGGTCGAGGTAGAGTCGATGCTACCGGGAGAAGATGCGCTATCCATAATGACTTGGTTGCAGTACAGCTTTCTGGAGACGGGAAGCGCAGCTGGCGTGCAGTGCGAACTAAGGAAGGTTCTTGTTAGATGGATACTGACACACGCAAGGAGATCCGGACGCCTTGAACGAGAGAAAAAATGATAGAAAGATGACACTGCGATTCCAAGCCAAGGAAGGAGTGGGTGGGTAGAGGGGATGGTAGCATACAATGCTCCGAAAGAGAATGCAAGGAGGGAGGGGGCTATCAAGCCTTCGTCATTGCTGGGCAAAGAGGTTTCGACCGGCGACGAGAGATTGATGTTGGGGAGAAGAGAAAGAGAAGAGAGGAATTTTGTGTCCAGGAGGAAGAAAGAAGAGATGTGCGGTGCAAGGCGGGGGTGTGAAGGTGAATTCGGGAGAAAGAGCGATTGGGTTCTCACAGGCAGTTGCGTCTTCCTTCGCACCTGCCAGAAGCTCGCATCTCGGTGTTTCTCTGTCGAGGAAAGAAGGAGATGGAGCAGCTGACGTTTTCGGAAGGCGCATCCCCTGAAGAGAATATAGGGAAGGAAGGAGGGATATCGACTTACCAGATGCAGAAGAACGATGCGTTCCAACTTGAGGGGATGCGAAATGCTGAAGTTGAAGATTGTCGTGCTTCTGTGAATGTGCGAAGATGTTGAGAGGAAGTGGGAGAGAAGGTTCGGTCGAGGAAGAAGTCATACACCTCGAGGGTCAGAGAGCAGGCAGATCGGGGGCCTCGAGGTGCAGAACAAGATGCGAGGGGAATCTGAGGAGCAAGTGAGAGGAAAGTGAGGAACTGTCCAAAAAGGGAAATATTCCAAACCCGTCTGGCCTCTACCTCTATCGTTTCTGTTTCCCCCCACCTCGAGCGTCGTCTTGCCCGCGAGTTGAGGCTCTAGGACCAAGCTGCAGCGGAGTCGCCCCTGGACAAAATTATATCGAGAAGAACCGCCGAAGCAAGGCCAAGAAGTATTGACTTTGGCCTGAATGAAAAACAACGAAGCCAGATGGTGATCTACGATGACATCTTTATAACTTGGCCATGTTGGCAGCCGTGAAAAAAAGGCTTAGATGTATCGACGGTGAATCACATCCACACGTGTGTGGTGGTGATGCCATCAGCTGGTCAACAGTTCTGAAGCACCGACAGAGACAATAATTGGCCGAACTCGGAACACAAGTGCAGCAAACACATTGGTGATGATCCGACAGTAATGTCAAAAAAAGAAAGCACATTGATGCAATGATTCTTTGTTGATTCTCTCCATCAAACACTCTTACATACAAAGGCTCCCTGGCCATTTGGAACCTATTCACATACATCCATGGCAACCATACACCAACACATGTTACCCGTGTCTTCCCTGTCCGTCATCATTCCCCCAGCAAGCGTCTTGTTTCTGCGATAGTTCATGCATGCAGAGACGCTCGTGCTCGTGACCACATTTCCATTAACGACATTTCCACCAGGGCCAGCCTTGTCATCCATCAAGTGAATTCCCAGGCACCGAAGATAGCCCGGGACTCCCCATCGGTATGAGTCGAATTCAACCAAGAAGAAAAAGTTTTGTGTATGCTTGAAACCCCCATATCTGTTCAAAGGATATAAGGTCAGGGGACCGAGGCGCTTAGCTTAGCCACAAGGTGCAAATCGATGCATCCCACAAGATTGGGCAGCTGGTCAAACCCCCTCATTAGTCTAAATGTTGATGAAAGGATCGTGCGAAGAGAAGGCGAGAGTAGGTATCCAAGAAAATGTGCCCCGGAAAGAAAAGGGGGTCTTTAAAGCTATCAAACCCAAAAACGCCTGAACGACCAAGCTAAAACAGAGGCGCATATATAGGCAATCAACGCGGGGGCCTGGAAGCAAATGCTAAGCAAGGAGGTTCACGCTCGGCGGATTTACTAGAAGCCGCCTGGCGGATATGCACTTCCTGGCACCATTCCAGGACCTCGCCCACCTCGTGCGTTGGGCAGCTGAAAGTCCGGGTTGTCCAGGATCATGTCTTGGCGTTGCTGCTGCTGGTTTACTGGTCGTCTCTGAGGTACCTGTTGGTATGGCATCGGGGGCGGTGGGTTCGGGTTCCAGCGAGGGTTGATGCCGCGTTGAGAAATAGAGGTGAAGTTAGACCTTTCAGACTCGGCAGGGCTTCGGGCGCCTGGGTTGTTGGCATGAATATCTTCGTAGATAGGCTCGATAGGAGGGGGCTGAAGGTTGTTGGAGGAGGTGCCGGGAGGCGTGTTTGACGCAAAGCGAGGATCGACGTCTTCATAATAGTTACTGTTTCCGCCCGCCATGGCCTGCTGCGTAACTGGAGGTGTGTTTCTGCCAGGAAGCTCGGCCGCTGAAGGGCCTGTCACCAGAGGAGATGGGGCGCGTGGTGAACTGCGACCGTCGCCTTGGTTCCATGCCGCTCGGGGAGGAGCATATTGCCTGTGTCTGAAGTTAGCATCTCCAAGTTGGCCAGGGAAGCATATAGCATACTCATCGGTGCTGTACTTGCTTCCGTCGCTCATGTAAGTATCATGTCGCTGCGGGATTCGCCCCTGTTGCAGGCCAACCATTCCAGCCACATCCGCATCACTATCTCTCAACTGTCCATTTTCTCCTTCACGTTGAGCTGTTGGAGCTGCATCCATTTCGATTGCCTGGCCGCCTATCGTGGCAGGCTGAGTTCCCGGCAAAGGAGGGGGAGATTCGGCGCGCGGCAAAGGCGAGTCAGGATTGTAGGCCGTGTATGAGACCGCGCTGACGCTGGGCATCGAAGGGTTCGTCGAGTTGTATCCATTAGAAAGATCCGATGGCTGGTTGTCGTAAACACCATAGGCTTGGGCAGGAGATGGTCCCCGCTCGTACGACCCGTTGTTGTATCCAGGAGGTGGCGTGCGACCTCCCCTCATGCTGCCATAGGCCCCCCTGGGCGGCGGTCCATATCCTCCTCGACCTCCCCTAGGAACATATCCGCCCCTTCCAACAGATCCATAGCCTCCACGGCCACGGATTGGGGCCCCGTGGTTGTCGTATCCACCACGTCCATAACCACCTCGTCCGCCACGGTAGCTTCCGGCACCTCCTCTTCCACGGTTACTCATGCTGGGCGAAGGTCCTCTCCGATTCGCGTACGGGTCAGGAATATCGTTAATGGGGTTTCCAAACTGATCACGCGAGGGTTGCCTTTGTGGGCTTCTGTTGAAGGCGGCTACCTCTCCCACGCTGGCGGCCTCATTGATTGGCACTGGAGATCGATTCGATGTGGTTCGGCGAGTGAGTGGGATGTTTTCTTCGCTGGTCTGGTCGTTCTTCGCCTGCTGCTCAAAGCTCGCGAAAGCGGGGAGATTGTCGTGAACACCATTGCCACCACTCACCGTTGGCAATGTCGGCTGTCTGGTAACGCCTACCTCCTCAGCCGGTTTGTTCTGGCCAGCCCTGTTGTAGTAGTTTTCGCCGCTCATCTCGGCATTCTCTGCGATGCGCCTCTGCCGGTCTTTTCTGCTTATCAGAGTGCGGCGCATGGCGCAGGTTACCAGGCCGCTCATGGCCACCAAGATGGTGGCAGCGAGAACCAGATATGAGCCCCATGCCAGGTGCGGAACAAATAGGAGTACATCAATCAAGAAGGCCAAAAGGCAGATCAAGAAGTCGAGGAATAGAAAGATGAACAGTATGAGTAGGAATCTCGTAGAATGAGACGGAGAATGAAGGTGAGACACAGCTGCCATGATAAACAAGATAAGTGTGATGAGTGCAGCAACTGGGTGAACGACGAGGATAGCTGAGAGCGTGTTGCGAACGCCAGAAGGCAAGTCAAAGGCTTGCGGATTGTCCCCAACTAGTTTTTCTATACCAATGTCAGCTTTTTCCAGCAACGACTGTCTTTCGGTTTGAATAGAAACTCACCAGTGTCATATCCAATTCCAATGTTGCTACACCCCTTGCCGCTCTCGCAGTAGCCAAATACACCGTACGTGACGCCAGCGAAGTCGCTCAGCGGGATGGCCTCAATTACGGGAGTAGAAAGAACGGCGAGCAGAAGCAGCGCAAAGGCCGCAAACAGCAGGATCGACAGCGGAGTGGCTGGCCGCAACATGATGGCGATGCGCTATGCGCTTGGTTGAATCAAGGGAACAAACAACAATGAAGCGAGCGGCCGACGTCGTCAAGACGCGGGGACAGGGCAACGCGATGATTCAGTGCTGCACTATTTCGATGGTGTTGTCGGTGGCAGCTTCGGTAGACGTCATGGGTCACGAATAATGGTCGTTGGAGAAACGGGCGTGATGGTAGCGAAAAAGAGCTTCGCGTAGCTGGTGGGTCGTCGGTTTGAAGATGAATCGTCCTCTTTTCTGCAATCGAGTCTGTTTTTCCCAATATCCTTCTTTCTATGGCGGTCTATTGTCGTCTTCCAAGGTTGGGCTCAACGATAAGGCTCGGCTAGGGTTGTAGGATGGGGCGCAGTCGCAGTCGCAATAGCTGAGGTGAATGGAGCTTCAAAATGTTATCGAACTCGGCCAGTCTTGAGTTCAGCGGCGCGTAAACAATGCGCACGCGTTCTTCCAGGCGTGATGGCCTCGGTGGCCGTTAAAGATCGTCGTCGACGTCAACGTCGTTGCTCCAGAGAATGGCACGACGTTTAGGATCAAGAATGGGTTGGTAGGTACCAATATCTGGCGAGCAGCGAGGAGGGGATATGACCTGGGCACCTGGGATTCTGAGGTGTAATCGAGTGCTCCTTCCAACTTGGCTCTGTGTGGCTTAGCTTGGCGCCGGGGGGTGATTGTGGGCGCTAGTCCAGGGATGGATGGTGGAACTTGGAAGAGTGGGTGCGTTGGCCCAGGTCCCAGGGGCACGATTTGTGCTGAGTGGCCTTGTTGTCCGCTATCGGGACCTAGACCGTTGGCGAACGCCTCTAGCTGGGAGCTGCCTATCTTTTGCGATTCATCGAGGGACAGCTTGAGCAGTAGATGCAATACCTAGCTGATGCTTGAAAACAACAAGATGCTTACG